CGGAGGTTTATTTTGTAGCCCATCATTCTTTTAGTTGTGATTCGAGTTCGGGCTGCAGTGTTGAGGAAGAAGAATTCCTTGCTCAAGACACTTTTTAGTTTCCTCTGGTTGGCCTCCCAGATGAATATGATGTGGGGTGGCCTACCTTTCCCCGGACTCTTATTTATTTCAAATGTTTTAGTGGCGTTTCCTTCGCAGCTAGGCTCACCATTTTTCACAGGTAAGTCCTTTAGTTGCGCAAAGGAGTCACTCATTGCCTGCTGACATGGAAGTAAATTGGTGGCGGTCTTTTCTATTTCTTGAGGCAGCACGCATCTTCAAATTTTCTGTCAATCTTTCTGTTTCTTACGTTCTTTGTTGTTTTAATTTGTCTCCATTTGCATAATCTACTGTGTATATTTATTGGCGTTTTCATATTATAGCCTCTTAGCTGCTCGCAGGAACTTAGGAAGTTATTACAGGCTTGTGTCAAGTCAGAAAGACTATGTTTATCTTAATTCAACATAAAATTTTGGATATATTTAAAATTATTCCGGTTATATACATCATATCTGATGTGTTGGTGCCATTTCTCTGGAATGACCTTAGCAGTAGTGCTCTTTCTCATGTTGTAGTTATTTTAATCCGTAGAACATTTGGCAGTAATATTAATATTCCAACTTCAGGTCAAATCATCCAGGCATTTTAACACTATAAACCAAACATATTTCAGGATTTCACAGAAGAACCCAGGCTAAATAACTATGACAGAAGTTCAGGATAAATTACTTCTGGCTGTCTTGGTAAAAATTTTCCATGAAGTTTATAGTTGCAAGTTTTGAGGTTTTCACGGCGATGACTCTGAAGAAAGTCGTCTTCTTGGATCTGGCGCCGTGTATTTTTGGTTTTAACCGAAGTTTCGGAGGAACGTATCGCCTCCATCTTCAGGGCAGGTGAATCGCAATGCGAATACAGAGAGCTACTGCTCTGCAAACATCAGTATTCCTATTTCTGTATTACGTCATCTAACAAATATGAAAATATTCTTCTTGGTACTTTGTTCCCAAACATCTTCAATGTATGCTTTTCCTTCAAAGTGACAGGCTTACACAGTAGGAAGAATTATAATCAGTTATAGTTATAGAAACGAGGTTGGAGAAAAGTGCATAATGAGTAGCTTCATAATTTGTATTCTTCTCCAAGTATAATTAGAATGATTAAGCCAGGGAGGATGCGGTTGGCAGGGCATTTAACACGAATGTGGAGAAGAGGAATGCATTTAAGATATTGGTGGGAAAGCCGGAATGAAAGAGACCACTAGGGAGACCGATACGTAGGTGGGTGGACAATATTAAAATGAATCTTAGAGTGATAGGATGGGATGGTAGAGATTGGATTGATCTGGCTCAGGATAGGGGCCACTGGAGAGCTCTTGTGAACACGGTAATGAAACGTTGGGTTCCATAAAATGCTGGGAAATTCTTGAATAGCTGCACATTTGGCGGCTCCTCAAAAATGGCTCATCTCCATGAGTGACTGAGTATAGTTAGTAAGTCAGAACCGTGATTCTCAACTGCAGAATGGGACTAAGTTCCGACATTTAACTTTAAGTCGCTGGTTTAACACAAGTAATAAGTCGTTGAGAATTACAGATATAATCATATGAAGAAGGTTAAGACAGAGCACATGCTATATGTGGGAATGGCATCCAAAATTCTATTCTGAAATCCTGAAAGGAACAAACAATTTTGAAGGCTTAGGCATACATGGGAGATTAACAGTAAATGAAAATTAAAGCAATAGATTTTGGCCTGTGTAATTGATTCTGCAAGCGAGTGGCAAAAGTTCCACAAAAAGGCTAGGAAATTTCATACTGAGTTACTGTTCCTTCTCAAGACGGGTTCATTTCCACTGAGTTGAATATATAGCTGCGCTGTGACAAAACGTTCAGCAAACCTCAAAAATTTTATAAAACTCTGCGTGTAAATAACAAAGATGACTATGTTCTGGTATCTTTACATTTTAAGTGTGAGACGTTGTGTTTTCGTATCAAGGTCGTAATTTCAATCAGAAGTAAAACGGTACAGCATAGGCTAACCAAACCTGTTGTACAGTAATGTAAATAAATGATAAAATGTGCGCCTGAGAACAACAGCCTTCACAGCACGTTGTAGGCTTTAGTTTCAAGCATGTTCTAGGGAAACGAGAGGCTAACTTGTCGTCGGAATTATTCTCCCAATAAAAACAGTAATTATTATTATTATTATTATTGAATAAAAAACTCGACGAAGCAGAGAACTAGTTGAAAAGCTTACAGTCGCTCGGCTTTTGAATATTCTGCTTTTTACGGAACCCAGAATTTTGCTAAAAAGTTAACAAAAACCTGTCATTGAACCCGATACCACACCTGAACCCAGGCTATTCCTCCACCCCTGCTCCCCTAATATCAATCTTAGCATTATCTTTTCATGAACATCTCTGTCTCTCAAGACGGCCTCATCCTTAAGGTTTTACAGCTGAAAACTTCCTCTGTATTTCTAATTCTCTTTATGGTACAGGTCTCTCAGCCCTTGATTCATTCAGTCTAATAATATTTCGTAAACAGAAGACTACAAATTATGAACGTCTGACCACGGAAAGTTCTCCATTTCCCTGTTACTTCATCTCCCACCCATCCACATATTTTTCTAGCCACTTTGTTCTCAAAGCAGCCTGGATAGCTCAGTCGGTATAGCGACTGGCTACAGGCTGGACGACCGAGGGGTCGGAATTCGGGTTCCGGTAGGGTCAAGAATTTCCTCTTCTCCACGTTGTTCCACCCAACCTTCTATCCAATGAATACAGGGGTGTATTTCCCCGGGGAAAAGCGGACGGGAGACCACCTCTCTTGGGGCATCTAGACCAAAGTCTACCGTTTTGACATCTCCCTCCCTACTAAGGTTATGTTTCAAACCTTCCAACGCTTCAGACATGCGAGTTGTGATGACGAAATAAGCTGAATGGACGTCCCAAATGAATTCTATTACATTAATTCCAAAGTGCACTTAGTCACCTTCAAAGTACTTCCTTTTACTATCTATACATTTGCTCCAGCAGTCCTGCCAACTTCTGAAGCAACTCTAAAAATCATCTTTCGTTAACGCTCTCCAACGCTCTTTCGTTGCAACTTCGGTCTCTGGAATCTTGTCAAAATGGTTTCCTTTCATCGTCTATTTAATTTTTTAATTTAATTACATTGTCATGATGCAGCATAAATCCGTTCTTACACTTTCCGGGCGTTTTCGTAGCACGTCGTTTCGTAGACATCCTAACAGACCTTTCTAGTAATTCGAGTTCACAGTTTGGCATCGAGACACGAACTCATCTCGAACGGTTCCTTCAGCACCCAAGAAAACGCTCAACACGACATTCACATTTGATTTTGACTGACGTGCTTTCTTTGTTCGTGACGAATTCCGTCCTTTCCAGTGAGAACTCCGCATTTTCTTTTCAGGATCGCAACCGTACATCCAAGATTCGTCTACAGTGACCAGGCTTCTTACAAACCATTAACATGAATTCGCACGATCATTCAACACGAACTATATTCACAAGCGGAATTCTTTATGTTTTGTGACAAAAGGCGTGTACACATGCAGTCACCTAGTCACTCTGATTCAGACACTGCTGTCCAGTTACACACAAGTAGTCAGTTACTTTGAGCTGGAGCTGAGCCCTTCTCGAGAAGCCGCCAAATCTGCAGCTATTCAAAATATTCCCAATATTTTATGGAACCTGAAGGTTTATTTCCATGTTCAAAAGAGCCCTCCACTGGTCCTTATCCTGAGCCGGATCAATCCCATTCATACCATACCATCCTATCTCTCGAAGATCCATTCTAATATTGTCCACCCACCTGCATCTTGGTTTTCCTAATGACCTCTTTCCTTCTGGCTTTCCCACCAATGTCCTATACGCATTCCTCGTCTCCCCCATTCGTGCTACACGACCTGCCCACCTCATCCTCCTTGACTTGGTCATTCTAACTATATTTGGAGAAGAGTACAAGTTATGAAGCTCCTCATTATGCAGTTTTCTCCAACCTCCTGTCACTTCATCCCTCTTCGGTCAAAATATTCTCATCAGCACCCTGTTCTCAAACACCTTCAGTCTATGTTCCTCCCTTAACGTCAGAATATCAGAGACCAAGTTTCACGCCCATACAGAACCATTAGAAAAATTATAGTTTTGTATGTTTTATTTTTATATTTTCAAACATAAGGCAAGAAGACAAAAGATTCTAGACTGAATGGTCTAGACATAGTTTGAGGATACATGAGAACAAGATGCTGAGGAGAATACGTGGACCGAAGAGAGACCAAGTGACAGAAGGTTGGAGGAAACTGCATAATGGGGAGCTCCATAATGTGTATGCTTCTAAAAGTATAATTACTCGTAGCATTATCAAGTCAAGTAGGATGAGTCTGGCAGGGCATGTAGCATGAATAGGAAAGAAGAGGAACGCATACAGGATATTAGTGGGAAATCCAGAAAGAAAGAGACCACTAGGAAGACCAAGACGTAGGTGGGATCTTTGAGAGATAGGATGGGATGGTGTGGATTGGATTGATCTGGCTCGGGAGAGGAAGCAGTGGAGGGCTCTTGTGAACACGGCAATGAACCTTCGGATTCCATAAAATGCTGGGAAGCTCTAGAGTAGCTGCACAATTGGCGGCTTCTTGAGGAGGGCTCAACTCCATGAGTGTGTGATGATGTCTCTGAATCGTGCACCCTCGAGAGCGCAGTTCAGTGTCACATTATCGCTTTGTCATGTGGGCCAAACTCATCTTTGCTCGATGTGCAATACATTTCATGGCGTATGAACCTACGAAGACAGGAGACAGATGTAATGCGCAAGGAAAATACACACAAAGACTACAATTTCTCATTACCTTTGCCTGTACATGGCGTAAAGGACACACACAACAATGTTACACATCTGCCAACAGTAATATTTGTATGTCGTTTGTTTTATGTTTCAGAAGTTGGCAGCCATGCTCTATCAGTCGCTACTAATGATGAAACTCCCAAGCAAATACGGACAGAGTCATTGTTAAACACGGACAGATAGAAGAAATCGTATATCATTACCAACAAAACAGCTTAACGCACAAGTGTGATGACAGCAGAATTAGAGCAGATTCGCTTACATGGGTGACAAAGTTAAACAGCCAAAGAGCGGAGAAAACCAGAGGGATAACTAGTGTGCATGTCAGTGCTGCAGAAGTATTTACACTTGTCGCACGCCGCAGTGAAGTTATACCGGTGCTTTTCGATTAACGACAGCCAAGGCATAATTTCTCAAGAACTCGGTAGCAGAAGAATTTTTAATTTTTGTTTTTCTTTAAGAATATATATTTTTATATTGCACAAATTTTGTCACGTATATTAAGGTAAATATTAATAATTGTTATTTTATTTTGTTTTATGAAAATAAAATTATATTTACACTATTCTTTTTGCCTGGATTTCTAGTATTTTAAATAATTTCATTAAATTTATGATTCATATGTGGTTTAAAAGTGCTGAAAAAGACTCTGAGAAGAAAAACGTTTTAAATAAACCACAAACGCTGATCCTTAAAACAGTAAGCGTCTTAATTTCCGTGGAGTTCAGTTAAAAGAAATGAAAGATTCGGCGTAATTCCTAAAGTACATAGTAACATATTTGTGATTATAAAACGAATTATCACATAATTTATGAATGCATGTTTAGGTCTGAGACTAGTTAACGAAGATTCCTAGACAATATCTTCGTTAATAGCATATAAAAATAAAGAAATTAAAGTGCTGCAAATTAAAAGAAGATTCAAAAGAACTTAATAATATAAAGTACTTTAAATTAAAATAAAAAATCTAAAACATCAAAGGTCAGAGACATGGAATCGAACAATGTAAATCACCAAGGCAACAATACTGTGGCCAAAGTGACGTCAGACAAAGAAAAGATTATTCCACCGAGAGATTTCGAGGACCTGTACAGAGAACATCCATTGACGGATGAGACGACATGCGGAATTGGGCCCATCCGCTCTGCCTGGTTACAGAAATTTGCAAACAAGAAGGCTTACGTGTTTATATATGGACTTCTGGGCTGCACCTTCTCTGCTAGCTACGCTTATTTCAACGGTACAATTACAACCCTCGAAAAGAGATTCAAGATTCCCAGCAGGACGACAGGTAAGGGTGACACGATATATGGCCTGCATCTCTTCCTTAAATTTAGATTAATTAAAACTTACAGACGCTGAATATCGTACCAATGATGATGATGGTTTAGGCTGCATTTGTATCATTTGTTGGGAGACACTGGGGAGAAGAGGAATGCATATAGGATGGGGGGGGGGAAGCCAGAAGAAAGAGATCACTGGGAAGACAAAGACGTAGGTGGGTGGACAATATTAAAATGGATATTAGAGAGGTAGGATGGGATAGTATGGATCAGGATAGGGACCAGTTGAGGGCTATTGTGAGCACGGTAATGAACCTACTGGTTCCATGAAATGCTGGGAAGGGCTCAGCTCCATGAGTGAGATTTTGGGAAAAATGAAAAATTCGTAAATTTTGATGAAATTATCGAAGAAAACAAAGCAGAAATGTATCAAATTAACATGCAGTTGGCTTGAATATTGGATAATATTGTTGACAAAGTTGGCAGTCGGATCAGTTGTGGTTATTGAACTCTGTATAAAGTTTTTCGTTTGATTATCGTTATACGGCACTACACGACTTTTACTGTCAAATTATTTGGGTCATGGTGATAAACCGTTATGAATTCATAGGTCAACAAAGCGTAAGCATGAAACAATTTGACTGACTTCTTTATTACAGAAATCGAAGAGTTATGATAACCTTCTAAATTCATTAATGGACAGACTAATGTCTCGTAGGTTATCTAACGATGTTGTACCAGCTACAGAGGTCATTTATCATTGAGTGATGAGAAAGAATGACAACGTAGATTCCAAATGGCTCTGACGATGGTTTAGAACACAGAGAATGACTGGGCTGTTGGACTTTTCCACTGTCCTGCACTGTAAAAAATAGAAAAGGCGACGTTTCCGAAACTGCATTTGTTTCCGCCCTCAGATGAGGGTGGAGACAGATACTCAGTTTGGCCCCTTACAAAGAGCTAATCTCAACCGCTGGATCACAGTCCTCTCCTGAGGACGGAAACAGATCAGTTTCCGAAACGTCGTGTTTTCTAGAATACCGAACGATGGAAGGAGTCCAAAAACCAAGTAATTCTGTGAAGAATGACCACGTTCGACGAACTTGAAGTAAATGGGAAGAAAAAGGCAGACATTTTTCAAGGTATTTTGCTGCAGGGACTGAGGAAAACCTGAATCAGAATTGTCAGTATCCTGAATGACATTCGAAACAGACACCTTACGATTGTCACAAGGATATTACATTCGTTTTTCCTTCTCTCTATTTATTCTATTATGCATAGGAAACCACAATCTTTCCTGATATATTGGCATTGTTCTTCCTTTAGGAAAGTTTAACAGTCCATACGTGATTCCATTGTTGTCATTCACCCACCTATGCGTTAGATATAACATTGCGCCTGATGTCTTGGTTTCATCTTCCTTTATAAATGTGCTCTCCTACTGCTGTCACGTGTTAGTGCCTAGACACGGGATTTGGACTGATAATTAGATTTACTGGACGTTTACAGCTCATAAATAAAATGATTCTAACAGCCTCACAAATTTACACACGCTATAAATCACTACAACTACAGCAAATACAAGGTCTTCTGTTTGTTTTTCTGTCACTAGTCGTTACTAGATAGTGGCTGCTAACAATGAAGATTCCTCACGGCTAACCACGTACTACAACATCTCACTTGCATCTCACGGCTGACTTACTGGGTCGGGTAGGATAAATATTGTTCCGTCAGAAACAATGACCATATTTTTGTTCTTACAAAATTTATCGTGTTTTGAAATGAGACCTGTTTTTCAACGAGAAGAGTGGTCTGACTCACTTGGTCGGCCGATCGGTCTGTCGGTCTGTCTGTCGATCGGTCGGTTGGTCGGTCTTGGTGTCAAACACCCACCTAGAGTCCAAGATCAGATTTTCATTAGTGTCAGACAGTTGCTGGTTTGTTGATGTGAGGCGGCTTCTCTGACAAAGGACGAGTTTGTCGTTTACAACTGCTGATGGTCCTCGCCAGCGCAGTCATTCTCGGATCTGAGTTCCGCGGGACTCGTAATCATATTTTACCGTCTCAGATTCGAGACACCCCCAACCTGGAGGACCAGGTCCCCTTATTTATATACCCCAGGAAGAGGGTGACCTGGTTATAATCCCAGGCACTGGGTTCCAATTTCTTCGCCATTTACGACTCGCAGGGCTACGGTGGAGGTATTCGAACCCGCCTCCACCACTATACACCATCGTTATATAGACTCTGCGCAGGCCTCATAGAAAACAACGCGTCTTCTCTTGTTGCATCAGTATCTGTTGCCGCGGAAAATTTTTTTACCTTGCCGTTGCCTAGCAATGACTATCTCTACTCGTTCCACTATTCCGGGTTTCAGCCGTCATGTCACACTATTTTATGACATACATTCTTATTCTTCCGTGGCCTTTGTTTTCCATCCATCTATCTAAGCGCTGGATACTTATTCTGCCTGATGTCTTAGTTAGTTAGTTAGAGAGGGTGGAGGATAGGGACCAGTTGAGGGCTAAGTTTGATCTATTGTGCTTCCCTCTATGATATTCTACCAGTCTCTATACCCTACCGATATTGGTGCTTACCATCAGTCCCGACCAAGTCAGTGAGTTCGGCCTCTACTGGCTTCTATATAATGCTCTATAATGCTTCCCCCAACTATCAGAGGCGTTAGAGACTACTGTTGGGCGGGAAATGTCCTTGAATTTGGCTCAGTGACCTCCTTAGGAGATATGAGGTTCTTTTACGTGCCGTAAAGCTACGACACGGGACCCACGGCTTAAAGTCCCTCCCGGAGGACTTGTTCCCTGAATTTTTCCGCCCTTAAAAATTCCACGACCTCCGCCGGGTTTGAACCCGCGTACTACGAGTCATGAGGTGGGAACGTTACCTCTAGACTACCGACACCGCTTGCCTGATGTCTTAGGTGCTAACATGATCGTTACCTTCTTTCATATTGCGTTCCTTGAGGTATTTATTTTCTTTATTTTCTAAAAGTCAGTATGAGTTAAATATTATGCTATACAACTTTGGAAGAAATTCAAAACTTTGAATTTCGTAAATGGAAAATACGCGTTTCGCAGACACGCGCATATTCGTACCCAGTTTCTGTGCCCATTCATCTGTCTAAGATCGTGTAGTTAATGAAAAAAACATTCTTTAATAAATTTCTCATTCTCTATATCTGTTTTAACTAGAATTGTGGTAGAAAAATCCGAAAGTAAAAACCTGTATTATCGAAACCCCACCAGTGGATATTGTCCTGTGGGAGTTCCACTTAATTTCCATCCTCACAACCTATTCCCCGAAGTCCACAGTGATCCTATCCTCCTGTCGTCTTTCCAAACTTCCTCTTGGACATTCTCCAGTCTGATTACTCATCAGAATTCCGTGGGTAGTGTTGGTTTCACGATTCACAGAGTCATGAGACACTAAAATATGGTCATAAGTCCCTTGGGACTCGGAGCCAAGATTGACAGTGCTGGCGAGTGCCAGCGGCAATTTACCCGACTCCAGAGACGACAGAATTCCATACACTTCACTCCTCCCCCCTATACTCAGCCTATCGTAGCCTCCATGAATAAGAATTTAAATAACAATCTCATGAAGTAAAGTCCTTCTTGAAAAGCTAATCATCCCATTATCTAGTTACGGCATCCCACGCTGCTTACGCAAACAAAAAGTTCATTGCTGTGTTTACAAACACTCGCCAGCGATCCCCATCCTAATCAGCATAAGTCCAGTTCACATCATCGCATACACGTACACTTTCTTATGACATGTTTAATATTATGATTTCATCAATGCCTAGGTCTTCCTAGTGGCTTGTTCCCTTTCGGGTTTCGGATTAGAATTTTGTATATTAATTTCATAATTCTCCAGTTTCAGTTTCACAATTACTAAGTACAAGACACAACAGTTCTCCCAAATACAATGAACACAAGGAGAAAACATAATCATACACCTACAAGCCAACAAAACATTAATTATGTACGGCAGTGCAAGACGAGGAAGTAACCCACAGAAATATATCGGTAGAAGAGACACATCTGGGGCACGCGATAGCGTAGTTGTTTGAGTCACTATGCAACAAGCCGGAAAGTCGAGGGATCAAATCCCGATGAGGTCATTTGATTTTTCTATTACAATACATGTGCACGGTTATGGGTTGAGAGGCGACAACATGAGGAAACATCAAAGGATCTCTCGACTGTTGTGCGGAGTGGACGTGTCGCGGCACCGGCAATGAATGTACAGTGGACGAACGATCATGCGACATCTTAACGTAGAATGTGGACGGATGTATCGGTGTCTCGTGTCGCTGCGACATGTCCCCTCATACAAGTCGTTCAACTTGTATTGCAACATGTACCCAACTACGTACAGAGCTTAATCCTTTCAGCCGCACTATGGCGCTGGCGTCGACTCAGCCTCTAACGTAAATGAGTACCAGGAATCTTCCTGGGGGGTAAAAGGCGGCCGGTGCGTAAGGCTAACAGCCTTACCGCCATCTGTGAGCCGATTGTCTAGATAAAATGCGGGAGCCTCGACGTCTCATAAACCTATGGGCCTTCACGGCCTGTTACAGGGATAGCTTTACCTTTCCTTAATTTTTAGAGACACATCTACACACAACTACTACTACATCTAGACAAAACATAAGAAAACCTTTTTTCTTTTCCTTGGCACTACAGTCCCGGTGGGCCTAGGCCTACCTCCATGAACTTCTCCGTTCACTTCGGTTTTAATAGATCTTACACATACGGTAGGACTCCTTGGGCGGGTGATCGGCTCGTCGCAAGACCTCTACCTGTACACAAACACAGAAAAACGCACACAAACATCCATGCCATCAGTGGGATTCGAATCCACGATCCCGGTTTCCAAGCGAGCGAAGACAGTACATGCCAAGAAAACCTTTTATATACGTTTAATTTAATGATTTAATATGTTTCAAAATAAATATTTAATTTTAGTTGCGAACACCCCTTTTTACATATATCAGCATTACATACTACAAAGAAAGTATTACAATATGTAAACACTGGCCAATGTAGGAACACTGGCAAACAAATACAGCTGAACGCAAGAATATTCAGTTACCTGACGGTAGCTACATGAACTGAAACATGAATGTATGGTTTCTCCATACTACCTACTCCCAACGTGTAACATATGTCCTGTCCATTTTATCGTCGTTGATTTGATCATAACAATTTTGTGAAGTGTATTACGAAGCTCCACATTATGTAGTGTTTTCCTGCTTCATATTAGTTCCCACCTCTGAGGTCCAGATATTCCCCTTACAGACTGCCATTAAACACCATTAATTTGAATTCTCAGACTTTCGGTTTTATTAAATGAAAGGTAAAACACGCATATTATAAACGCAACTCAAAGATGATTATGTAAAATATAGGTATATAGCGGCCGGTGCGTAAGGCTGAGAGCCTTACCGCCATCTGTGAGCCGATTGTCTAGATAAAATATGGGAGTCTCGACGTCTCACAACCCTATGGGCCTTCAGTGCCTGTTACAGGGATAGCTTTACTCTTTATATACTCATATTTGGACAAAAGACGGATAAATACATATATACAAGTTTCAGGCACATTTTCTCCTTAATAACTTTACTCTGAATAACAAAGGAACTCAGGTGAAGTGATACATGTGGAAATTCACAATAAAAATAGCCTCTGCCATGAAGACGTATGGGGAGTGAAGGTATAGAGCCATCATTCTTGACCTTGGCGACTAGATGGAAGCCAATGGTCAGCTTCACGTCCAGGCAGCTTTATCTATTTCATAGGAGGTTGCGTGGGCCTCAGAGCCGGTCTGGACACTGTGGAATAGAGCAAAACCTCTCACCCCTGCCAGGTATCGAACCCCGACCATTCGACCTGGGTAAATTATATAACTAGGAAATGCGTAATTATCGTAGGTCAAGGGTAGTTAATCAAGAGACACTATCATGTGTTCTGAATATAACACAGACGGCGAAGAAAGGAAATTGGGAATAGTGGTGCGCAGAACTTTAGTTAAGTGGCTACATGTTGCATGGGAATGGAAATAGGAGGCTAATGTTAAGACGGGTCATGAAGAAACTGGTTGTGAAGGTGGGAGCTGTATGTAACTGACTCAGGGTAGTACCGGTATTAACGGTGTTGGATCTCCGTTCTCTGCTACCGGACCGTTAGATACGTAAGCTCTCAAAAAGGTAAAGTTGTCCCTGTGCTTAACTAATTAAGCACTACCCCCATGAAGGCGTATGGGTGAGTGGATATATAGATCCATATTTTCTTGATCTCAGCACTAGCTGGAGGTGAGTGGTCAGCTTCACGCCCCGGCCGCTTTACCTCCAAGGAAAGAACTCCCGTTACCTACTGTACAGGAGGCTGGGTGGACCCCAGAGCCGGTATGGACGGCGAGAAGAGAAAATTCTTAACCCTGCCGGGACTCGAACTCCGACCTCGGTCGTCCAGCCCGTATCCAGTCGCTATACCGACTACACCATCCGGGTTCATGTAAAATGATCTCTTGTATATTGAGCGTCATCAGGTTCCACAATAAAGTGATGCGATGCAATGCGCAGGAATCATCACCGTGGGCAATGACATCAGTCAGCTCTTCGTATCCATAGTCCTGAGCTACTACACTGGCCGGGGCCACAGACCTCGGTGGATTGCACTGGGCATCTACACAGTGGTACTGTACTGCCTCATGTCAGCGCTTCCGCACCTGCTGTACGGACCCGGGGATGACGCCCTGGCCCTCACTGTGGAGTACGGAGGAATCGTGGACCAAAATTCCACGCAAGAAGCAATAAGTAAGTAGTAGTAGCAGTAGTAGTAGTAGTAGTCCAAGCTCGAAGAACACAAGCAGTAGGTCTAATCTTAGAAAACCTTTAAACTCATCCCACCAACAGCAATTGAGAGTATGCTAAAATAACACCTACTTATTTCGCCATGCTTATCCACATTTTAACAAGAAGTAAGAGGGCGTAAATTATGAGACTGATTAAGTCATATCTTGATTCTGTATACCTACAGTAAAGTCTGTCCAAGTGTATTAATTTTTATTCATTTTTGTTTATTTAAAAGTCACTTCATTTGAAGACTTCAACGGACTTGGCGTTTAATTGTGGGTCCTTGACCGACTTTTAAGAAATTCCATATGCGTCGCTTCTGTTGTGCAAATAGACAGTGGCATGTAGACCTTAACTCACTTAAATTTGTTTTAAAGCCTGCTTAATTAGGGTATTGTCGCGTGTTTGCTTGGTAACGCGACAAGAAAATTAACGTGGGTTTCGGACTTGAACGAGTATTTATTGGACAATCCCTCTTCACACTCACAACGTCTTCGGACGTTTCTTCTTCAAAGTTACAATTCTCTTGTACCGTTAATCTCGGTGAAGTGTCTTCTGCTCGGAACTCAACTGTCCTTAATTCTCGTCGGATACGAACTCGACTGGTCCCTTGTCGGATACGAACTGTTATATCCTGCACTAGGACTGAATAGGAGATACCTTGTCGAAGGATTAATTTCGCCCGCTGCTATGTAACAAACGCGGGAATACGGGTCTGCCTCAGACAATTCCTTTGTAAATAACGGCGGAAAATCCACCATCTCCGGGACGAATTCCTAGGCTTTGCTGCCTAGGAATTGCTAGCCGTTGACTAGTGATGGACGTCTGATAATCCGGCTTGGTCCGTTTTGGTGGAAGAAAAATTCCTCCAATAAAATGACATATGATCCCATAACATTCGTAACATTTGTAACGATGAACAAACCACTAGTACATAAATAACATAAATTGATTCTGAATCAACGAAAACGTTGTTCAAGATACTTATATCGTCTTGTCATCTACCAGTTTACCTGATGTCCAGGGAAGTGGAACGGCTTGCAAATATCTTTGCAGTAGAAGGGTAATATGCATGATTTTAATGCCACCTGCAAGGGTGACAGGGCATTTATTTTGATGTTCATTTAGAATTGAAATGTTAAAGATGCAGAGAAGAGGAAAATCCTGTGTGGTTCAAAAGGCGAGGGTGGTGGCTGTGAGAAATCTGATGGCAGCATTTGGCCGCCAACAATTCTCTTCTTGGCCAATTTCGTGGCCGGCATGGGTGGCTCTCTCTACTACACGCTTGGCGTCTCCTACATGGACGACAATATTCAGAAAGCAAAAACACCTGCCCTAATCAGTGAGTATCATCTCCACATCACAGACTAATTTCGTATTCCATCATTTCACTGAACGCTGAAAATGGAAGCTACATGTTCCTCAGAAACGTCGGTTGGCTTTCACCGGACAACGTGACGTTATATCCCTGAAGATAGAATTCTTCATAACCATCACTACATAATGTTTGCCAGTTCGTAAAACTTTTGATAGAATTATTATTTTAACTGTTTTGTTTCATGCTGTCATAGAGCAGACGTTTTAAAAATGTTACACGTTTCGTCCCCCTTAAAGCATTTTACAAATTACAGGCCCCCCTCCCAGAACAAATGCAAATAGATTTGATATAAAATTTAGCTATGAGTTTATATTTGTATAATTTATTATATATCGTTCAATGCATTTAATTTAAAGGACTGAAACAAAATATACGCTTCATACTTGGATTAGTGGGACGGATGTGGTTGTCTGTTTGAACATAATTTACCATAATGTGGTTCGAGTTTAGCATTGTGCTCAAAGTTCTAGCTAGTGGCGTCATGTGCACTGAAGTATCTGACGGTTAGTAGAGGTCAGTAAGTCTTCACAAAATTTCTTGTAATATTTATATAGTTTATAATAACTGAAAAAGTTGAAATTAAATAATTAGCGTCATTCTTGGACTTTCTCTCCTTTCAACGTCTAAATGTTCGGCCACACAGAGCGCTACGTACGCGACGCACGCTACGTACTCTATTTTCGCTATACGAACAGAAAAATATCTCCCTTTATTGCCAATGTGACTGGCCACACAGACTTCCGTACGCTATGTTCCCTAAGTTACCTGCGTCGCAGAGTGTACACAGCGTACGGAGAGTACGTAGCGAACATAGCGTAGAGCTCTGTGTGGCCGGACCTTAACAGTCTGTGAAGCTCTTTTGTTTTTCTTAAAATTTTCTAAGTATTATAGCCACCTGAAGACTTTCTTGTAAGGCCAAATCACATTGTGAACTTAACACTTACTTAATGAGATGCAGGAATTATGTTGAGCACCAAGTCGCCATCTGCATAGATTCAAATGGTCCATGATTGCTATTCAGCTGTTACTTGTGGAGTGAGGATGTTCATCAGCTCCTCGTCTTTCTATTTCTCTCCTTCTTATTCCTCTTCTATTAAATTTCTCTTTGTCCTTCTCACTTTCTACTTCCCACTTCTCAACCTTCTACCTTTCCTTATTTATCATTCGTCTAACTCTTCTTCTTTATTATCTTCTTCCTTTATCGTTATATATACGAGTATATATATTAAAATAAGCCACTAACGCTACCTTTCGTAACTTTCTCTAATTTTATTACCCATCATTCTCACATCGGAACTGAAAACTAACTAATTAAATCCATGAGACAGGCCGGTTATGAAGTTCCAAATTTCAGTGGAACCCTAAAGCCCGTTATTGGATCCTTTAATGAGCCAGTTGAATGCTGTTAACATAGTATTTCTCTACGATCCAAATTAATATCTTTACACTCCAAAATAGTACCTTCCATTGGGGTCTTCCGAATAAAGTTGTCTATATACTGAGGCTGATAAGAAGTTGTTAAATACATATCACAGACCTTCAGAATACAAAACAAAAAGTGTTGACAAAAGCCATTTCCTGAGTTGGAACCGAGCCCACAAATCCTACGTCACAGTAATCGATGACTGAGTTAAGGTTAAGTTTATATTCTTTCGTCCCTTCGATTAATGACGTTACAATTCAGTTTTTTTTTTAATGAAACCAGGATCTTATGTTAGTAACACTGTCCGATAGGTATGGTGCCCCCAATCCTTGGTTGAGGTCAAGCCGTCAATCCGTTGGGATAGGCCGCCTGTCTATCCTCTGTGGGCAATTTGGGCCCATTAGAATAGCTCACTTCAGGAGGCCATTTATAAAGGAGAGACGTGACGTCATACGGTGATGGCGTGACTTTCAATTGGCTGATGACTGAATCATGTCTTTTCTATTGTTCAAACTATTCGCAATTTGAACCTGCAACACGCGCAGCGACTGCGCTTTTTCAGACGCTAAGACAGCTCCTGCAAACACTGACTGCAGGCCGTTGGAATGAGCAAGGCAACCCTCGCCATATACGGGTTTCCCTCTGTATTTTTCCGGATGCATGTTTGGTTTTATGTATCTGCATTTTTTTAATTCACGTTCCCACCAAAGTCAAGGCAGGAAATGAAGAACACCGTCTTCTGGAATGTAATATCGTACAGTATGGTAGAAATTCATCGAAAATTTGAAGGAACATATTGCCTCAGGTTTCAGAATTGAAGATTGAGACAAGCAAGCATCCTGACTATACGGACTATACGTCATCAGACCCCAAAAGATAGTACACTTCAGTCAGGAAACGTACAGACCAACAATTCTAGCTTCTAAAGGGTTCTGGCTGTGATGTATAACACTCGGGATTGCTGGTTCCATCGTCCGGCATTCTCAAGAATACAACTTTTCGGAAAATGGATCTGTTTCCGTCCTCACGTGAGGGGTGGGAGACACCTAATCTGTTGGGTCCCTTAGAAAGAGCTAGTTCCAAGGATTCAGGTTAGCGCTTTCTAAGGGACCAAACAAGGCCGCCCCATAGCTCAAGCGGTTAGTCGCTGGCTTCCCACCGCGGCGGCCCGGGTTCGATCCCGGGTCTGTCAAGTGGGATTTGTGGTGGACAAAGTGGCGCTGGGGCAGGTTTACTCCGAGTATTTCGGTTTCATCTGCCAATCTTCATTCCACCAATTGCTCCACAATCACCCCCACCTATCATCTGGGGCTGGTACAATAGGCCAGAAGTGGCCGCAGTACAAGGGACTTAGTCCCACCCCACTAGCAATAAAAAAAAAGAGGGACCCCAACAAAGGAGACGTCTTCCACTTCCTCACCTGAGGAAGAAAACAGATTCAGTTTCCGTAATGCTATGTTCTTCAGAACATCGGATAATGGACAAAATTAAAAAGTCTAATAATTCCAAGGAAAAAATTATCAATTAAACTCTCTTTGCTTAACCGTCTCTAAAACTTCCGGGAAGACCGAAGATAGGCCATATATTACTGCTAAATAGTGCAGCGGAAGCGGTTGCAATGGGATGGACGTATAGAGCAAAAAATAAAACAAAATAATATTGAAATATTTGGGAAGGAAATCTGTCGACAAACGACTACTTATAAACGTATTAATAAGAACGTGAGAGGATAACATTAATGAGGGTATTAAGAAAGTAGCCCACTGGGACGGGAGGCAGCCGGAATTGTCAGAGGAACGAACACAGTGTTGGGTCTCGGTCTCAGTCTTGTTGACCCTTGGGGTCTGCTACAGGAGGCTTAACCAACGCTATCTTGCAGGTTTCTCCTACTTCTTACGGATGCTGGGTCCAGCTATCGGCTACGCACTTGCATCCCTCTGCCTCAAGTTCTACATCTCTCCAACTCTTACCCCGACAATAGGAACGGACGACCCGCGGTGGCTTGGAGCCTGGTGGTTTGGTAAGTTCTAGACAAGCCTAGGGCAGCACGAAATGGTTCTTCATAGTGTGTCATCAATATGGTCGCATGAAACTTATCTTCATAACCGTGTGTCAGGGAACAAAGAGAACAGGAAAGAAAATGCATGTTTCCTAAGAAATCGACATTCGACAATGTGAAAATAGATTACTTAAAATGTCTTTAAAAGGCTCTATCGCGCTCTATACAATCCAGAAGTAAATTAATCTTGAAACAAAATACAAAATATTTTGTCTTTAATAACACAGATAAAGAATCATTAGCACTGGGTGTTTAATTCATCGAAACTGAACAGTGTCATAGCAGTGTAAAGATGTTATCATCTTAATTCTTAAGGGCTGTATTTCATGAGCGGCTATAGCGACTGGCTATGGGCTGGACAGCCGTAGGGTCGAAGTTCGAGTCCCAGTAGCGGGTAAGATTTTTCATTTCCACAACGTCCAGTTCGACTCTGGGGCGCACAAAACCTCCTACCCAATGGGTAACGTGGTCTCTTTCCCTGAGAGAGAAGCTGACCACTCACCTCGAACTTGTCCCAAGGTCAATAATACATATATCTATACATCCACCCCCCATACGCCTTAATGGCATAAGGTTTAATTGGTTAGGAACAGGGACAACTTTAACTTTACTATTTCCACACATTGTGTAATATAAGATATTTGGACCGAAGAAAGATGAAGTGACAGGAAACTGGAGAAAACTACATAATGAGGAGCTTCATAACTTGTACTCTTCTCCAAGTATAATTAGAATGATCACGTCAAGGAGAATGAAGTGGGCAGGTCATGTAGCACGAATGGGAGAGACGAGGAATGCGTATAGGATATTGGTGGGAAAGCCAGAAGGAAAGAGACCACAGGGAAGACCAAGGTATAGGTGGGTGGAAAATATTAGAATGGATCTTAGAGAGATGGGATGGTATGGATTGGATAGATCTGGCTCAGGATAGGGAGCAGTGGAGGGCTCTTGTGAACACGGAAATGAATCTTCGGGTTCCATAAAATGCTGGGAAATTCTTGAGTAGCTGCAGAATTGGCGGCTCCTCCAGAAGGGCTCAGTGAGTAAGTGTAATATAAGAAAAAAAATTATATATTTGCAAGATGTAGAACTGAACACAGGAGACAGCAAGATTTTTTTGTAGTTTCCCTATTTAATGACGGATGTCAGCCCTCGCGATCTAATAAACTAAACGTATTTATAATATAAGGATAACCGGAAACGGAACCATTAAGATATAAGGCGGCGTTATACAGATCCTTTCCTTATTTTTAAGGAAACCTGAGCAGATAACTCTTAACATGAAGACTCCTGCCTTCTGGCATGTAACATCGTGTAGACCGTTGAAAGTCAACCGACGTTTTAGGGGAACATTTCTCTTACATCCCTTGGTCGAATAATAAGCCAAGTAAGAGACTAGCATGAAACAGGCAGCAAGCGTGGAGGCGACCTAGCTTATTTGAGAAATGTTCCTCCGAAACGTCGGTATATTTTCAACAGGCTACATAGCGTTATATCCCAGAAAATAGGACCCTTCATACCCACTGCTGTGACAATCTCAAATCCTGTCACTCTAATTTAATACACCTTTGTTAATAGGCTTACTGGGTTGGAGGCCGTGGATTGATTGAGCTTAGCTCTTCCTAAGGGACCCAACTGAGTAGGTGTGTTCCCGCCCTCTCACTTGAAGACGGAAACAGATCCATTTTCCGAAACGCTGTTTTCTATTTTCCAGTATCCCGGACGAGGGACAAAGTCCAAAAACCCATAATTCTGAGTTCTAATGTTCAGTGCTTAGTTTTACTCAGGCTCCACAAGAACAAATCGGCATGTTGCCAAACTGCTATGATCCTAAGACACGAAGTTACATCGACCTTTATATGTGCATCCACAGGTTGGATCATCATCTCCATCGTACTGGCAGTGTTGGCAAGCCTGCTCGCCCTGTTCCCCAAGACGCTGCCTCGTGCGGCAGTTAGGAAAATGATGGCGCTGGAAAGACAGAAGAGCGTCGCCAAGTCTGAACCAGAACTGCCAACCTCAATGTCGGGTGAGAGGTTGACGTCGAACAGTAGAACGCTCTGAGCGATTAGACATTGTCAGTCTTAATGTCAACAGTATTACTGGTAACTGTACCACGTCAAATTATTTACCATACCAGTCATTTGGCCGCGCCATAGCTCAAACGGTTAGTCGCCGGCTTCCCACCGCGGCGGCCCGGGTTCGATCCCGGGGTCTGGTCAAGTGGGATTTGTGGTGGACAAAGTGGCGCTGGGGTAGGTTTTCTCCGAGTACTTCGGTTTCCCCTGCCTATCTTCATTCTACCAATTGCTCCACAATCACCCTCACCTATCATCTGGGGCTGGTACAATAGGCCAGAAGTGGCCGCAGTACAAAGGACTTAGTCCCACTCCACTAGCAATAAAAAATATACCAGTCATTTTAGCTATGTGTGTGCTAAGGCACGTATGATCTTAGACCACAGAAACTACGAGATCTGGGGCTCAGAGTATGCTGGTGGCAAGAGTGTGTCTTTATGTACTGCCTAAGCAGTATACTATATGCATTCAAATTATACTTTCATAATTAATTATGAATTGGAATGGCTATGGATTCGAGAGATGAAATTATAATTATTAATCAGTTTTCGTTGCCAGAGCAAAATAATTCGCACTGTTGCCATTTTGACATCTTATATTACTCAATAGAAAGAAAACACGAAAGAAGCTAACAAAAATGGAATATTTTTCAAATGTCTACGAAAATTCTTCACTTGAGAAACTAGCATTAGAAACGTGCTACAGTTGTTCCATTCTATATAATTTCCAACTAACTATTCCACACTAAGTAACCGATAAAATTGAAAAGGTTACATTAAAAAATAACCCAAAGCGTTAATAATAAGTAGCGGTTTACCGTCAGTATGTAGTAGTTTAGTTGGTTTATATACTTTGTTACAAGCCGGAAGGTCACGGGTTCGAGTCCCAATGAGGTCATTTGATTTTTTTCAGTTTACCTAATCATTCCAGCCGCACTATGACCCTGGGGTCGACTCAGCCTCTAACAGAAATGAGTACCAAGAATTTTCCTGACGGTAAAGAGCGGCTGGCCGGCGCGTAACGCTGACAACCTCACCGCCATCTATGAGCAGATGGTTTAGAAAATGTGGGAGCCTTAACATCGTCTCACAACCCTATGGGCCTTCACGGCCTCTTACAAGGATAGCTTTACCTTTACCTGTAATTAAGTAAGTAAAGGTATCCAGGTAACAGGCCGTGGAAGCACATAGGGTTGTGAGATGTTGAGATCCCCACATTTTCTAGACAATCGGCTCATAGATGGCAGTAAGATTGTCAGCCTTACGTGCCGGCCGCCGTTTACCCCAAGAATATTCGTGGTACTCATTTCTGTTAGAGGCTCACTCGACCCCAGGGCCATAGTACAGATGGAAGGATAAGGTAAATTGAAAAAAATCCAACTCAAGAAACTATATACATTGAGTAAGCGGCCTCTGTAATCTAGAGGTAACGCGGGTTCAAACCCGGCGGAGGTCGTGCAATTTTTAAGGGCGGAAAAATTCAGGGAACAAGTCCTCCGGGAAGGACTTTAAGCCGTAGGTCCCGTGTCGTAGATTTACGGCACGTAAAAGATCCTCATGTCTGTAGGAGACCTCTGAGCAAAATGACCTCCAATGCCTCCACTGCTAGTAGAGGGGCCGAACTCGCTGGCTGAACGGGGCTGATAGCGAGCACCCGTACCGGAAGGGTATTGCGACTGGTAGAATATCAAAGGGGGACGTACAATAGATCAACAACTGGTCGCGGTGCATGGGGAAACCCACCCCCTCCAATAATTATTGGAGGGGGTGGGTTTCATTCATTATAATGAATGAATGAATGAATGAATATACAGTGAGTACAAGTTTCTGCTGCTAGAAAACGACGAATATAAGTATGAACCTCTGGACGTTTCAGATATGATGCAGACGTTTTGGCGCCTGATCACCAATCCGACTCTGATGTGCAACAACTTAGCTTCAGTATTCTACTTCCTGGGCTACATGCCGTACTGGGTGTTCATGGCGAAGTACATTGAGACGCAGTATCGGCAGTCTGCGTCCACATCCAGTCTGATTACAGGTAAATTCTTCGGGCTTACGAACTCGTAAATCGAAAGCCTCACATTTCGTACTTTACAGTTAATTCCGTCGTTTCTTTTATACATTCCTTTACAACATCATGTTTTTAGTCAGCCATGACCGCGTAACCATAGTAATGTTCATTGGTAAATCAAATGTTTCATTTTCATCAGTTATCTTTCCAGACGACAGGTCCACAGTCTCTTCCAAAACAGTTCCTCCACTTAATGCGTTCTTGAGCTTTCTCCTGCAATTGAGAATATCCTCTTCTGTACCCAAGGTCATCCAGCATCTTCTTACGTCTTCTTCCTCGTCTTCTGGTCTTGTCGTCTTGGAAATTTCATTGATAAATCTCATAATTGATTTGTGTCTTAGTGTTTTCTGACGAATATTAAATGTGTATGGTAGATTTACTAGTTAATTACTTGCTATTTTAAATTGTGGGTGATTACTTCGTGTGAGACCTCCTCCGTTGTCTAGTGGTCAGAGTTCCTGGCTACTGATCCAGAGGTCCCGGTTTTGATTCCCGGCGCTACCAGATTTGCTAAGATGTAGTGGGTTTGGAACGGGGTCCACTCACTCTCGTGAGGGTAATTGAGGAGGTATTTCAAGGAAATAGCGGCTCCTGTCTAGAAAACCGAAATTATCGGCCGTGGGGATTCGTTTCGCTGACCACGCGACACCCTCTATCCGCTAAAGTTGACACTAACTTCGCCGACAAAGGCGGTCGCTCGGTCGGTATAGTACGCTTCCGAAATCAAGCAACGGAGTTTTTTTCCTACTTCGTGTGCATTTATTACTTTTTGTCGTAAATGTTCTTTCGAAATTTTGTTATTTTAACATTTATAATTTTAAACACATCAAGTTTCTTACTTTTTTCCATTTTCAAACGTTGATTATCTGAGTCCTTTCTTTCTACGAGCTGTTCGTATTAAATTTTTTGAGTAGTCTATACTCGTAAACTTGCTATGATAAATTTTTGGTGTCATGTTCTCGACGAAAATTTTTCAATTTTATAATTTCTCGCTCCCCTACTCCATGACATTTGGTTAGTCCAGGTATCTTCATCCAGATTCTGTCAGTCTTCATTTGACATGTTTTTTAAAATGTCAGTAGGATTTATTTCCTTATATTTTCTTCAATCTACGGTCTATATCCCCATATACGTATATGCATAGATATTTTAGGTTTATTTCAAAATTTTTCATGGGAAAAATCATCTCATATTTCTCATCTTTCTTTCAGGTACCGTTGGCCTAGTTTTCTCAGCCTTCGGAATCCTGCTGTCAGGTCTGATCATTTCCAAGTACAAACCACGTGCCAGGTACCTAGCAGCATGGAATGTTATAGTGGGCGTCATCTCTGTACTCGGGATTATATCTTACGCATTTCTGGGGTGCCCGGCTAGTGACAACCATGGAGCCCTTTTATCAAACGGAGAGTAAGTAGGTTTAATTTTATTTTCTTGATTAGAAACACGCCGATCAGAATGGTCGTGCAATTTAAGGCATAAAATTACTTCGCCCGCTCGAACACTGGTATCGTTGGTTCGAATCCCACTCAAGACATGCTCAAAGTTGGAGGAACAGGAATAGATAGATAGATAAATAGATAGATTGATGGACAGACAGGTAGGTAGATAGGTAAGGGACAAGTAGGTAGGTAGATAGATAGAAAAATGCACGACTATTATTCATTAGAATGCAATGGCAATGCACTACCTTCACACGAAAAGCAAAATTGTCATAAAGGGTAAAGGAAACCTGGTTTATTGCATACTCACACCAGGCTACTTAACTATTCCTTCTAACGTACTGATTACGTACATAGTTTCGAACTACAAGAGGATTTGGTCATGAATTTTATACGGGTGATTATTTAGAATCTGTTTTGGCCAATTTTACTGCACCATCCTGGCATTCGTCTGGAGAACTTGCTCCACACTCTGACCACTTTAAGACAAACGACACTCTCGTCCTTCAGACATGAGGCTAGCACGTCTGGACGTGCTGACTAAGAGAAAATTCAAGGTTGCTAGTGTGAATCAAACCCAGTAGAACTGCGCCCCACACTTTACTGAAAGAGCAATCCCGGCATTTTGGTTTATTGATAATCATAAACTAACCAGAATTAATCAAAATATCTTAACGACCCCACAAGTATTTTTTTATTGCTAGTGGGGTGGGACTAAGTCCCTTGTACTGCGGCCACTTCTGGCCTACTGTACCAGCCCCAGATGATAGGTGAGGGTGATTGTGGAGCAATTGGTGGAATGAAGATTGGCAGGGGAAACCGAAGTACTCGGAGAAAACCTGCCCCAGAGCCACTTTGTCCACCACAAATCCCACTTGACCGGATCCGGGATCGAACCCGGGCCGCCGCGGTGGGAAACCAGCGAGTAACCGCTTGAGCTACGTCGCGGCCCCACCCCACAAGTAACTCGCGGCCAATCACACATACGAGTATTAATCTCAAAAGTTCACATGGCTGCCTTGTTGTTATTTTTTAAGACCAGGCATTAAACTCTTCCAAAATAAAATGGCTTCCAATTGTATTTGATGAAATCAGCCAGGTAGTGTTTAGAGTGTTCAGGGGATGGAAGAGCACAATTCTGTGATGGAGTTCGTAAAAAGAAACAATTTACAGCACGCCGTGTTTAGGCAGACGGTGGACTTATGGGCTGGACAATGCTACGCTTGCGTTGTACCGAATTAGGCTATTGGCATAAAACACGTTGATACACTTTTAGAATTATATTCATTATCTATGCAGGCATAAAGGGGAAATTCTTGTTGCAAGAATAAAGTATGAATGTGTAAACCACATTTACTTGTTCAGGGTATCACACGATGTCATAATTTTGTAAAAATACTCCGTAAACGTAGACAAACTTAACACCTTACGACTTAAGTACCTATCGTGTTTTAACAGTAGACTGTGTGCTATGGAAACATTTGTTCTGCGCAGACTCGCTACAGACCAGTCGTGTAATGCGGGCTGCAACTGTGACTACGTTAAGTACTCCCCGGTTTGTTCGGAAGACGGCAGAACCACCTTCATTTCGCCGTGCCACGCGGGTTGCAGACAACAGCAGTATAACAATGGGAGCAAGGTGAAATTATTTCTGTGCATAATGTAGATTAAAGAGAAGAGCCGTGTAAGCCCTAACATCTCCATCAATTTCTAGCCATTGTGTAATAATTCCCTTTCTATATTCGGCCCGAACAGGATTAATTCTGAGAGAAAAATTCTCTAATTGCTAAATCTGTTAAATATGTACCAATTAATCCTGCTGGCTGAACATACAACATAGACATACATTACTATAATTATTAGTAATTATTTCGAACAAAATTACTAAACTCTTATTCATCTTCTCAATATGTCAAGGCCTTCATTAAACTGAATCTAGAGTCTCGAGTCTAAGGAGGAAAATAGTAACTTAAAACAGAATAATGAATACGTATATTAAGGATCCGCCTTTTAAAATGTCAGAATTACAATATGTGTACATAATATTTGTTTACTTTTCTCTATATACTATATAAAGTTAAAGTTGTCACTGTCCTTAATTAATTAATTAAACATTAAGCCATGAAGAGGTATATGGGAGTGAAGGTACAGCTCCACCGTTCTTGACCTCGGCACTAGATAGAGGTGAGTGGTCAGCTTCACACCCCTGCCGCTTTACCCCCGGGGAAACAGCCCCTGATACTCATTTGATTGGAGGCTGGGTGGGCCCCAGAGCCAGTCTAAACGCTATGTAGAAGAGAAAAATCTTGTACCTGCAGGAACCGATGGTCGAGACAGATAAGACATATGATACGCAAGAAATGTACATCTCAGTTTTGGGTCGAAAACGCCGTGAGAGTTTGGTACATTAGAGACGTAGAAGTAAACGGGATGATAACACTAAACCGTGTCTTAAAATAGAATATGTGAAGTTTCTCACATAATCCCAGTACCATAAAAGCATGAAATTTCTCCATCCGCTGAACAAACCTATGCTTTTGCGAAGATATTTTACTATGTAAGTGGTTGGTTAGTCAGATATGAAGTCAGCGAATTAGTCAATTTATTGGTTACCTAACTAAGATACTGGTTACTTAATAAGTCAATTAATTAGGTATTAGCTATAATAAGTCAAATAATTATTCATTTACAAATCTGTCAGTCAATTATATCATTCAGTGGACGAATCCAAATGTTAATAAGTTAGTTAACGAGTTAGTAAGAAGCTCAACAACTGAATTCATCAGTTATATGACCAAGGCATTAGACATCTAGACAATTTTAATAAGTGACTTGGCGAGTCAGTCAATGGCACCTACCATTTAATTATCAGAATTACAAATAATGAGATATTAATTTAATCCATTAGACAGCAAATTAGTATGTTACCCAATCAGATAATCAGTTAATCAATTACTTAGGCAGGCCATAGTTAGGCCTATATATAAATCATTTTCGGAATACTTGTATAGTCCCGTTAATGTTTAACATAGTTTTGAGAAAATTTCATTATCCGTGTACGTACTATCAATAAGTTTACTGTGAAGATTATGGTCTTCTGGGATGTGATTCAGTTCGGGTACAAATGGCAGCAGGATCCTTCAAAATTCTGATATCTCTTCACGAAACAACACGGAGTCATATCTCAGAAAATTGCAATTACTTATCACGAGAATCTCACGTCTCGCAAGCAATTTACTGTTTCCTCTTCAGATATTCACGGACTGCAAGTGTGTGAAGCCTTCCGCGGCAAGCGGCAGTCCGGAATGGCTCGTCCCTGAAGACTCATCCCTGCCAGAGACCCCTACATCCAAGTTTCTAGGAGGAATCACGCTTTCCGGATCCTGTCCCATCGACTGCTCCAAGAAGTTCTTCATCTTCTTGGCTGTGGTGTGTCTTCTGAAATTCTCTGGGTCGTCAGGGAGAGCGTCAAACTTCCTGCTATCTGTCAGGTAATAACGGATTTCTAATTGGGTAACATTCGCTGTCGAAAAGTCTTACCGGTCATAGGTGTTCTGGCACCCATTCTTGTTTCATTTAGGAGTAACTCAGGTTCGAACACTGAATAAAAGATAATAGATCCTTATTGACATTCGAGATTCTCAGGAAGGTAAAATAAAAGCTCCTTAAAATGGACGGCGGTCATCTCTTTCCACAGACATTAATTTAACTTTCGCAATTAATCACTGGCATTCCCGCTATATGAACTATGCAACTGATGAAGAATTGTTAAAGAAGAGTCAGTCTTCTCAAACGTGAGCAGTCGATCCAGTCCCCGCGTCCTTTTCCTTTTCAAAGGACACGTGTCAACGCTTGAAAAATAATGCGTTACTTTTCCTTCTGACGTCCCACAGGCTGCTAGACACACGTCCCTGTTTGTAAGATAGGATACAGACTCATGTGTCAGCATTTCCTTTCCAGTATTTCCGCACCGGGACAAGATCCGCTGTCCTAGATATAACAGCGGAATATCGGGTTTACTATTAGTTCAGCGTTTAAGTGAAGCTTTCTAAACCATTGATTCCGAAACGTCTTTAAATGAAATCTGACAATTCGTAAAAATAAACCTATTATGGTACAGCTAGGGTTTGTATGTAAATGTGTTTCGTCCACTGGTCTGTTTGAATTCGTTCTTCTATGTATGGCCCTGTTTAGTTGCTTTATTATCAAAATAATCATCTTACAAGGTCGATTTAACAGGTTTTACGTCCCTGAATGTATGGAGATAATGAAGCCAAGCGATGTCCGAGCGCAAATGGGAGACTACCGGCCAAAAGATGATTCTGCCATCTGCCGCAGCATTCGCGAGCTGGGTATCGGCCTCTGCTGTGAGCATATATTCTAGCCGAGAAGTGGCGCTTCCATCGGCATTCCCGTGAACTCGTTGCAGTTGGCATGTAGCGGAAGTTACATTAGGTTTTATGTAGAGAGTGAACGGATAATATTTCGACAAATTTTGCGACGTGATTAACACATTTAAACTATGAAAAGAGTCTGTAGGCACGTGCGTCAAATAATGTCGCGTTTCGAAGCAATGGCTCCTTCGAATTTTACGAAGTTAGAGAATTACATCCTGGTAAGATATCGGAAGTTTTTCTGAATCGCAGTAAGAAATCCATTCGATTGAAGTCCGGTGAGCGTGAAGGCCATGGAAATAACCAACCCCGACGTATCCATTTTTCACCGAAGACTTGATTTATGTGTGGTGTAACACGAATGAGAACATGATCCGGAGGTCCATCATGCATGAACCACGTGCAATTTCGTTTTCGTACAAGTTCAACTTGCTGGAACTGCGGTAAAATATTTAACAAAAAAATAGGTACTCCACTCCTGTGAGCCTACTTGGTCGTATTAGCCAATCTCCTACGATACCTGAAAATTGACGATGATGTATCGACTGCAGAATATCATGTTTTAAACTAAAATTCAAAAGTGGCATAGCTCCGCGTCGCGGCCATTTTATAGGATTAACGGAAATCAGAAGTAACATTGGGTTTAGCGTTAATATGAGATACACTTTTATAACTTAGAATATAATATTACATTTCGTGACTTCAATGTGACTAATATCTTGTCAGTTTCGTTTCCGGTTTAGTTTTTTTATTGCTAGTGGGGTGGGACTAAGTGCCTTGTACTGCGGTCCCTTCTGGCCTATTGTACCAGCCCCAGATGATAGGTGAGGGTGATTGTGGAGCAATTGGTGGAATGAAGATTGGCAGGGGAAACCGAAGTACTCGGAAAACCCTGCCCCAGAGCCACTTTGCCCGCCACAAATCCCACTTGACCAGACCCGGGATCGAACACGGGCCGCCGCGGTGGGAAGCCAGCGACTAAGCGCTTGAGCTATGGCGCGGCCCTACAAGGGACTTAGTCCCACCCCACTAGAACTAAAAAAAAATACTAGATGCTCACAGAGAGCACAGACAATTCCATGCCGACATACAATACACTGCCTTATATAATTAGGGCCTATAGTGCAAACTAGAGACAATACAAGGTTTTGTCTGGTTATTTTAAAACAACGGCACGGAAATAATAAAATTAGTAATTAAGCGGCGAGTGAACCCGGGCAATGTTTGCTATCATTCAGTGCAGAACATTTTGTCTTCTCGTCTGTTGTCCAAAAACATAAAAATTAGAATATACAAAACTATACTTTTTCTTATGGTTCTGTATGGGTGTGAAACTTGGTCTCTGACATTAAGGGAGGGACATAGACTGAAGGTGATTGAGAACAGGGAGCTGATGAGAATATTTTGACCGAAGAGAGATGAAGTGACAGGAGGTTGGAGAAAACTGAACAATGAGGAGCTTCATAACTTGTACTCTTCTCCAAGTATAATTAGAATGATCAAGTCAAGGAGGATGAGATGGGCAGAGTATGTAACATGTATGTGGGGAGAAGAGGAATGCATATAGGATATTGGTGGGAAAGCCAGAAGGAAAGAGACCACAGGGAAGATCAAGGTGTAGGTGGGTGAACAATATTAGAATGGATCTTCGAGAGATAGGATGGTATGGTATGAATTGCATTGATCCGGCTCAGGATAAGGACCAGTGGAGGGCTCTTGTGAACACGGTGATGAACCTTCGGGTTCCATAAAATGCTGGGAAATTCTTGAGTAGCTGCAAAATTGGCGGCTCCTCAAGAAGGGCTCAGCTCCATGAGTAAGTAAGTAAGTAAATTCGTTGTGAGAATTATTTGAATATATGTATATCCCCGTTGGCATTGTATGTATATTCAGATACAGTGGAAAGAAATAGGAGGAGAATGAGATAAAGAACTGTAGGAATGTATTATGTATACACGTATAATAGAATGTTGCATATGTTTCACAGGTGTGTTGAAGAGAAGGATAAGCCAATAGCCATGGGATTCGGTATGACAATGGGAAGCCTCTGCGCTTTCATCCCGTCGCCCATACTTTTTGGAATTATTTTAGGTAAGGATGCCAATGCACCTACAAACGTGTAAGAAATAAAATAACATATTTGTGTACATGTCTCATCATCATAATAAATACAAATTATTAACATAAGGACACTAATACATTCTTTGAAACATTGCTAAAACTTACAACTGTTCTTTAGAAACTCAATTAACGATATTACTAAATTTGAATTAGCACAGCCTGAGGTTCTAAAGTTTTAAAGCAATATAAAGCTCTGTACCACATAAGATTCTGAGCCAGTTCCATCCACCTAAGACCCTTATTGAAAATACGGTAAGCTGTATCAAACCAATCAGAGTATACTTAAAGTGCTTCGACTTGTATACACAGGCCCTTAGAATTTATAAATAAATAATTACACAAATTAGTAACTTCTCCGTTTCATAATTTCCAGGGGTTTATGCATATCAACATTAGCGGATAGTTTTAAAGACACAATCTAAACATTTTCAGCAATCAGTCTGTCCGAAATCTTCATTATGTTCAAAATAAGGATGGCATTGTTACGTTCTGATATAGCCAGCATGTACGTATGTGAGGAAGTACTATAATCGTGGAGAAATCCACGTCAGGATTCTATCGGAAATACACATTTTAGACGCCCGTGAATGCGAAAAAGTGGGGTTCGAATGCAGTATATATGTATGTATGTATGTGTGTGTATGTGTGTATGTGTATGTATGTATGTGTGTATGTGTGTGTATGTGTGTATGTGTATGTATATATGTGTGTATGTGTGTATGTATGTATGTATGTATGTGTGTGTATGTATGTATGTATGTATGTGTGTATGTATGTGTGTAAGTATGTATGTGTGTATGTATGTGTGTATGTGTGTGTATGTGTATGTATGTGTGTGTATGTGTATGTATGTATGTGTGTATGTGTGTATGTATGTATGTGTGTGTANCAATCTAAACATTTTCAGCAATCAGTCTGTCCGAAATCTTCATTATGTTCAAAATAAGGATGGCATTGTTACGTTCTGATATAGCCAGCATGTACGTATGTGAGGAAGTACTATAATCGTGGAGAAATCCACGTCAGGATTCTATCGGAAATACACATTTTAGACGCCCGTGAATGCGAAAAAGTGGGGTTCGAATGCAGTATATATGTATGTATGTATGTGTGTGTGTAAGAATGTGTGTGTATGAGTGTATGTATGTGTGTGTATGTATGTATGTGTGTATGTATATGTATGTATGTATGGTGTACCGAACAAGTTAGACCATTATTTCCTAGATGACGTCATCAGGATAAGTCGTGTAAGGGAAAGTATGTGCAATATATCTGCACCAATTTAAGACCAGTACACTCGTGCCAGGATTTAGCCCCAAGGTCGAAATATAAAATGCACCCACATTTGTGCGGTTTTTGACTTATGACAAGGTTGGTGGTACGCAACAATATTTGTCGGTATGCGTTGTCTCAACACAGAAATGTAACTAACTTCATGGAACAATTATGCCCGATAAGCTGATAGTTGTTCAGTCCGTTAATAATTCCTAGATCTTTATGGAAGCCGAAGCTCTTCAAAAGAGCCAGCCATCGAGTTTTGGAGGGACATCTTCAGGGTCAAAAATTAGGCCAAGCAATAAACCAGCAAGAAACAGGCAGCGGATGGAGGCGACATGTTCGTACGAAAAGTCTGTTGAGTTTTACCAGACTATATGGCGTTCCATCCTATAAGATAGATGTCTAAGTACTTTTTTCTTTTATGTAACACTAACAGTAGTTTAAGCCCAAGCGGTTAGTCGCTGGCTTCCCATCGCGGCGGCCCGGGTTCGATCCCGGGGTCTAGTCAAGTGGGATTTGTGGTGGACAAAGTGGCGCTGGGGCAAGTTTTCTCCGAGTACTTCGGTTTCCCCTGCCAATCTTCATTCCACCAATTGCTCCACAATCACCCTCACCTCCAGAAATTGCCGCAGTACAAGGGGACTTAGTCCCACCCCACTAGCAATAAAAAACAGTAATTTAAACAATATTTTTACTTTTCCGTATCGGAGTAACTTCACATTTTCCCCCCAAATATTTTCTTTTACAGATAAGACATGCCTGGTGTGGGGTAAGACGTGTTCTGGCACAGGGAACTGTTGGCTCTACGACGGGGAATCCCTCAGATACGTCCTCAACTTTACAGCTGCCAGTAAGTAGTAACATTTGAACACGGAGTAACTTCCGATTCTTTCCCTGACAAAATATACAAAATGGAAGGGGACGATCAGAAAGTTGTACTAGGGTGGACTGACTGAGTCTTGCGGCGTTTAACGTGTCTTTTCTATTACTTCGGCTGCATATCATCATATTACATCATGTTTTGAATGACGGATCTGAGAGGGTATATACAAAAAAGACGTTGCCTCTATTAACATACTGACTCAGCATTCGCCTGCGGAGACTGAGGAAAACAATTGGCGAGAAGGGTAGACTGTGTCAGAGTGGAGATTCGAATTATAATCATATTGACAGTACAACATTGTCGAATGTGTTCTTTGCTCTATAGTCATAATGCGTATTTATTCCGTATAATAAACAGTTTATTTTCTTGAAGAAAACAGTCTCCTGGGATTTGGCACCGTGTATATGTGGTGTTAACCACATGTCTGCTTTTACCGTTTCTCACAGTCTCTTCGCTTGCAGATTTCTTATATTTTTTCTTCTACCCTGAAGATGGAGGCGATACGTTCCTCCGAAACGTCGGTTAACACCAATTATACACACGGTGCCAAATCCCAGAAGATTGCTTTCTTCATAGTCACCGCCGTGAAAGCCTCAAATCTTACATAGTTTATTTACTTATTTCGTCTTCTTTGATTTTTGACAGAAATTAGCTCTGAAAATTTTTAACACACAGAAATAGACAAATTTTTGACAGAGGTAATAAGGAATAGATGTATGAATTACAAGTTATCTTGTGTTCCATTATCATGTCTAGCTCAACACAGGATTAACATGCAAATTTCCAGGGAGGGATGTTGTATACATATGGGAATAAAATAACGGGTTAACTTTTATATTCATTAAGATTGTGACCGTCTGGGTTGCGACATCAGGTACTTGTGTGTGGATACCGGCATTTCCGAGGATATATTCATGTTTTTGCATTGAAATATGTGGGTTCAGAAATACGCTTGTCTATAGAGCGAAATTAAATATTCTTGTGCCTGAGGTAGATGGCTCTGACAAGTCTTTCCGGAAACGAAACCTTGGAAATCACTTCGGATCGAGTGCGGCGAAAGCCTATGTATTGCAGTTAGTAAACCACTAATTTTATAACACGTTCTTCGTGAATTTAAGTCAATATGTGTTAATGGTGTTCATTTCAGACACAAATTTATTCTTTCAAAGCTCATGGCAAAATAGAGTAAGAAATTATTATTCCTTGTATTTCGCTAGGCCTACATATTTGTGGCACTGAACAGTGTTTCAAATAAAATTAGTAACCCATAATCAGACAGTTTTTTAATGTCTAAATCGTGTGTATGGTGAGATAATATTTAAGTTCGATTTGAACGATATGCAAAGCAGAGTCACCGAAATTAATCAGTATGAAACCTGACAGAGAGTATTTAATGTAAATTCCCCCATTTTCGTCGAGTTAAATCACACGTGGACTGAAAATGTATAAGAAACGAGCCGAAAAAGACAACAAATAATTATAACAATAGAACACAATATTAAAATAGGCCTTCAAAAGAGGGTACGAAGGTGTGGTTTAGATTAAAATGGCTGAGAATTGATATTAAAGAGGAAATAACTTTGACAAAGTAACAAACTTCCGGATTACATAAAAGACGACGCATTACGTACTTAACTACGAACTAGCAGCTCCGCAAGAAAGTGTCTGTTCCTTGGAGTTAGTTAATGCACACATCTGTTTCAGTTATTTACAGCAATAAACATATAACAATTAACATGTACTAACAATGCGCTGTTGTCCACAGCTTTCGTTGCTATAGGAACAGCCTTTGATGCCGCTGTGTGGTATTATTCGAAGAATCTGAAGATATTTGATGAGGAAGTTGAACTTAAAGAAATTGAAGAAACGCAAGAGAAAATAGTAATTGATGACTGAAGTTTGCCACGACAAGTCAGAATTTGTAATTAATGTGACAAACTCCGGACAGTAAGTTTTGGTTCAAAGCTCTTCCTATTTTAAGTAAGTTGTTTGCGTATACGCGTGGCTATTTCGAATGAATCAAATAATTTAAAAGTTGCATAGGTTGTGTGCCCCTTTTACTGCGAATGAAATTGAAATGAATTGAAATGGAAAAGGAAGATAATGAAATGTATATTACATATATGAGTTGTGAGAAGCGAATATGAACACCTTCAGCGAATATGAACCAACTTCTCTTTCGACAAAAGTTTTTAAAGATACTACTTATCAACTGAATGGTTCATCCTACTGCAAGATACTATTATTCAACGTCTTAACAAGATATGAACATTTGAAATTAACAGTACAGTAACCACACACATGTCTAAAGAAAGGATTATATATAATGTAACAAAATTACAAAATACTTCTTAAGATATCTCGAAACAGAGAATTCGAAATTTATTACTAAAAATTCACTAGACTTTGCAGTTATAGAATAGGCCTCTCTTAGTGTGTTCTCCACTAGTGTGTTGGAACTACACGCCCGTCAGTTAACTGTGGAATGTTATCCTTTGCTATCTATAATCTGTGTAATTAATTTAGAATATCGTCTTGTGGACCACATTTCGAGGAAAATTTCTCATAAATTAGCCTATACGTAATCTTCAGGGGATGCATCCTGTTTTGTTTATCAATATATAGTTATTTCATATATCCGTCAACATAACAATCAAATAAATAACTCACGTCCACATTTGTGTCATCTGAGACTTCAGGGAACGCTTTCCCCTTTCCAGCCGAAACATGTTGAGTAGCTCTAGCGTAAGTTAACTAAACTCACTTGTAACAAATATGAAATTAGTTACTTATTTAATTGCTGTGTTGACGGATATATAACCTATTCTTAATCCTCTTAATTTAAAATATTTCTGGGATGTCGATCATAATGGAAAGCACACACCACCGTTAAAAGTTCTTACATTAATACACTAAGACGTCATAAGGCAGACATGATTTTTTGGAAACAAAACTGACAGACCTCACCCTTGAAAGTGATCAACAATGGGGTGGAAAGAATTATTCATGTGCGAATTTCCTATAGCATTTCACTAAAACATGACGTCAAGATTATTTGATGACGCTATTTCTACTGTATAGGCGATTTAGTTTTGAATGAAATATGAGGTGATTATGTATGATGTAGACATACTTCGGGACTAAGCATTGCTGGTCCATTTTAAAATACTGTCCCAACATTTTTTGGGGGGTTGGGGGTGGAGTGGCGTGGGGGAGCAACTGAGATTGCTCTTTAATTATATAATTATACCACTTCATTTGCTAAGCCGGTCACGGTAGCCGAGCGGTCTAAGGCATGCACTGTCTTCGCTCGCTTAGAAACCGGGATCGTAGGTTCGAATCCTACTCAGGGCATGGATGTTTAGTGTGTGTGTGTTGTCGTTTTTCTGTGTTTATGTACAGATAGAGGCCTTGCGACGAGCTGATCACCCGCCCAAGGAGTCCTACCGAATGTGTAAGATCTAGAAAAACCGAAGTGAACGGAGAAGTTCATGGAGGTAGGCCTAGGCCCACTGGGGCTTTAGTGCCAAGGAAAAAAAAATTCATTTCCTAAACACAGACTGGAATGAGATGGGGAAATAATGAATTGTATATAAGGAATTTGGCGGAAAATTGCTCATAGAAAAATTCGAGGTACTGTTCCTGTAATCGCCAGAAGAGACTGAGGAAAATCATCAATAATGGCCATCAGGACATAGACCGAGATTCAAACCGATTACCTCATGAATACTAGTATACAACGTTAAACATGCTTAAAATGTTCGACGGAGAAAATCATGAAAAATACGATAAATCAGGGTCATTAACACAGGATCGCCGGTCGAGGTTAGAACGCCTTGGCACGGGACAAAATTTTGAAATCCTTATTTACGTACACGTAATGCCACTTGTGTCACTTTGCTGACCTTGTAAACTTCTATATTTCCATTTGGAACCTCTGGGTTAGCTTTCGTTTGCACTGTCTTCATTTAGAGAACCAGATTATTCATCGCTGCTTTTAAAGAAGAAACTAATATCCTTATTTAACTTAGCTCGGTTTATATCTCCCTACTCAGTCGCTCTAAGATTCGTTCTAATATTATCTATCCTTCTATACCTAGTTCTGAGAGCTCAGTCGCTATAGCGATGGACTACGGGCTGTACGCCCGGGGTTCATTTCCCGTCAAGGGCAAGAGATTTTCTCTCCTCCACAGCGTCCAGACCGGCTCTGGGGCCCACCAAACTTCCTATACAATATGTACCGAGGGATATTTCCCCAGGGATAAAGCGGCCGGGGCATGAAGCTGACCACCACCTCCATCTAGCGCCTAGGTCAAGAATGATGGAGCTATACCTCCATTTCCCATACGTCTTAATGCCGTGTTGCTTAATTTATTTAGCACAGGGACAAATTTTACCTTCTTTTACATTATACCTAGGTGTCAAGTGACTCTTATTCAGTTCATGTTTGAAGTTATAAATTTTGTGTGAATTTCCTGTTTGTTCTCATCGTTCTTGACTTAATTTCTTGAATAATATTCGGGAAAGAACAAAATGTTTAAGTTCCTCGTGGAATGTGTGTAAAGAGAAGCTGCAGAATGATAAATTCATGTCAATACCACAAAATTTCCTTCACTTGGCTTATCCTCCATATTTTTTATTCGTTATGGAATATGCTTCTAGAAAAGTCCAAGAAAATATGAACGGATTGGAACTGTACGAAACATATTAGCTACAAGTATGTGTTGATGTTGTTAGTGTATTAGGCTGGAGCTATAAAGAATATAGAAATTTTATCAGAAGAAAGCAAGGGCATTGGCCAAGAAATATACATAGAAAAAATTAGGAGATATGTTCATATATTCTCACCAAAAATCAGGTAAATATCTTAATATAAAACAATTGAAAGTGAAGTCTGCATCTTATTCATTCTGAATTCGCATTGGATTGCATGGAAGCATATATTTCGCAGACTTAAAAATTCACGCTGCCATTATTATTATTTATATGTGATCATTGGTGTCCCCGAACTTCGGTAGTGGGGCGCCTCGATTTTTGTTTTTTACCGATAACAGGAACACAGAAATTATAAATTTGGGGAGGTCAGCAATGACATAATTTTCATAACAAATTTCATCAATATTCGTCCAGTGGTTGAGTTCAAACATGCGGTCATGAGTCAGGCGGACAAAGATGATCATCCCTATATGCATTCTTTTTTTTTTTTGCGCATTGTGCATATAAAACAAACAAACGCAATAATGACACTTAAAATACACCAATTTCAAGAACGTTGAAGAGACAATAACAAATCAAAATTATACAATTTCTTTATTAAAACCGTCACAATAGAACTACATTAAGGTCAGTGCCAAGCATCACTTGGAGAATTTTAATGTTGTTTTATACTATAACTTTCGTTTTATATAGTCTAATTTAGTGTACTTTTACGCCAAGTATTTTATTATATAATTAATATTATTGTATCCAATTTTATTAGTACTGCAGTTCAGTGGTGTATGTATGTATGTTAGCCATGTATGTTATGCCTGATGGTGGCTTTTAATAGCCGAAACATGTAGCAGAGCCAAACTAGGCACTGACCTAAATATAGTTGTGTTGTGATCGATTTAATAAATAAATTGTATATTATAACACAACAGGATGCATGAAATGAAAATCGAAATTATATTTATGATGTTGTTAACTGAAGTTTAAACTCGGAGAATTTCTAGTATTCAACCTAGACCAAAAACCATACTGCAACCTCTGCTCATGGACAGGTGTAAAACTTGATTTTGTCATTCTCGGTGAAGAATATTGAGTGAGAGAATTTCAGAGGAGAAAATGTTACGCAAAATACTTGGACTTCGAATGGCTGAGGTGCAGGAGAAAGTAAAAAGTAAGCAATTCTGAAGCTCTGCATGCCTGCATCTTGAGTACTCAGTAATGAACAAAAGTTTGGTTATGAACTAGACTAAGCTTACCTGTACTTTCTTAACCAACGAAGGCATCAGGCTTATAACACTTTTGTTATCTTCATCACTAAATACACCATTAAAGTCACACTATTTTCATCCTGAACGATTTCACTTCACTTTGAAAACTTCCTTCACGACACTTCCGCGCCAACGACTGATCAGTGGTCGAATGAGTGATGGTCGATTGCAGTCGCTTCAGAATATCGAGATACGTTTAAAGTCATACTGGATTCGCCTGACATCTGACGGCATATACAGAACTATGTAGTAGTAGCACTATTACGGAAGCCTGAGTCGCGGTTCAAGGGCCAAGAAGGCCTACCCCTTATACATTCATTCAAAGGTAAAGTTGTCCCGGTACTCATTAGAGAGGAGGCTGGGTGGGGCCCAGAGTCGGTCGTGGAGATGAGAAAAATTCTTGACCCTACCGAGACTCGAACTCCGATCCCTAGGTCGTCCAGCCCGTAGCCAATCGCTATACCGGTTCCTCAATGCTGTCAGTACATAAAGCAAATATCTATATATATATATGAACATCATCTTCATGATTAAGATGACTCAAAATTATAGTACAACTCTTATTCTCTAAATAAATTGGTTTTAGTTGTTTTACGGTATGTTACGTGTATGATGATGATGATGATGATGATGATGATGATAATAATAATAATAATAATAATAATAATAATAATAATAATAATAATAATAATAATAATAATAATAGGCAGAACTAACATTGCAGTTGAGTGAGCGATACTCTTGCTTCGTATTTCGGAGGTGTCGGGGTTCAAATCTAGGTCCGGAGATCGGCTATTGCGATACACGTTATCGTGGTTTTCTTCCGTCCGTCGAGGCAATTGGAATACAACCCAAAATTATGCCAACACCGGTTCATTCCACATAAATAGTAATATTTCTTCGTTTATTTGTCAGTAGGCCTGTCTGACAATATACAGCCTTGAAAGATGGTATAATCTAATGAACAGTGAAACGGAACGGATGCAGAAGGAAACGGCTGTGGTCTTGATTTGAGGTATTCTAAAGGAATTTGCCTGAAGGAACAGAAGAACGCCACGAACACATCAGACACGATAGCTGATGACCCGGCAAAAATTCAAACCTACCTATTAAGCGGCGTTCAGTCACAGAGGGACAATATTACCATCGACAGAATCCACGGTGGATGGTCTCATTTTAAAATATGATAGTTTCTGTGTTGATAATGAAATCTGAAAGTTCATCAACCCCCTCACAAAAGCCCTCTATTAACGCCTTCACGCAATTTGTCTGTCAGATCCACTACAATTTTACCTTCCTGCACCTCCAAAGTCATTTTTTCCATTCAGGGTTTGAGAATAATATTTTCAACGCATTTCCTCATGCTTTATTAAATATTTCACTCATCATATCCTCCTTGATTTAGTGACCGTAATAATATTATGTGCCGGTCACGGTAGCCGAGCGGTCTAAGGCATGCATTGTCTTCGCTCGCTTGGAAACCGGGATCGTGGGTTCGGTTCTGTTTCCTGTGAGGTACGAATTGAATTCTTATATATTCTTATACACTGCCGGTCACAGCAGCCGAGCGGTCTAAGGCATGTACTGTCTTCGCTCACTCGGAAACCGGGATCCTATGTTCGTATCCCACATAAGGCATGAATGTTATGTATGTGCATGTGTTTATTCTGTGTTTGTGTTGCCCTGTGTTTAGGTAGAGGCTTTGCGACGAACTGATCACTCGTCCAAGGAGTCCTACCGTCTGTAAAATGATCATGAAACTAAAGAACTCAGAGGCCAAGGCTCAAGGGGGCTGTAGAGCCAGTGAAAAAGAAAAAAAATGTGTGAAGTGTAAAAATGATGAAGCTTCTCACGAAATAACTTTATCTTCATTATATCATATTATTATATTATCATTATCATTTATTACTCACTGGAGAGGACTTCCCGTTCAGCTAACACGCACAGTGCGAAATGCATGACATGTCACTTTATGGAATACAATCATAATGTTACAGGAGATTCGCATATGATTTGTTAAAAGTGTTTTATCAGTAGGCTGCGTCAGATTTACTCTACATGCAGTGTTTTATGCTTCATTTATGTCAAGCTTTTAAGTAAATACTAGACAGCTTTTACCGAGAAACATAATTTTGGTCCTTTAATATGTTTATATTTTTCTTAAATTTCCAACTCACAGATTTAACTGCAATGGTCTGAAGTGTGAATTATGTTTCATATGCTTACATATGCCCATATTCATTATGTGCACATTACTAGAAGACTTTGATATTATAATTCTTGTACTATAGAAAGAGAGACCTGAAGGGGGGGTACACTTTTATATACATTAAGCATGGTTTTACAGCTGGTATGTAGACCCATTGTTTGAATCTGCTATTGTGAATAGTTTTATGTTAATAAAATATGCATATTAATAATAAAAGAGTTATATTTATTAAAAATACCATTTCGTTTCATTGCGTGAAACTAATCAAATAGAAAACGACATTCAAATATTTATTTCATTGTAAGTATGAAAATTGCATTGCAGTTCTTGCACTAAATTTCGTCTTCGCGGTGCTGGAGCGCAGTTCCAGTCATTATCTCATCAAACAAATATTATTTACACATTCGACAGGGATACTTAAATAGATGTAAGTCTATTGTAGGTGTTCTGAATCTGTAAAGCAATGTAAAACAGAAGAGGAAAGGTTTATTCGTGGGGGATAAACATGGTTTCCAAATATATTATCTGCGAATGTGGATCAACAACCATTATTATTTTCATTTACTGGAGATGGTAATCGACTTGTCGTTCCATTTTTAGCCCACATTTATTTTAAAAATATAAATGAAAGCTGATGAGATCACGTTGTTGTTTTTTTTTTTTGTTTGGGAGTATCCCCTCATTACAACATTTCAATACCTACTTCGCAACTATATACATCATGGCACCAGAGATAATCTCAGTGGCTTCATAAATCTCTCCCATCAGTAATACCAACATTACAGCCTCTCAAATTGCTGACGCAAAACCGTAATATTGGTTGAACGCATGTACCAATCTTCATGAAACTTGATATGTATATCAATGAAGTCATCTCAAGGGGTACGTCACAAATTTCCTCCATCAGTAATACCAACATTACAGCCCCGTAATATTACTTGAATTCCCAGACCGATTGTCATAAAATTTCGTATGTATTTCATATCATATGAGACCACCTCAACAGAGCACTTCATAAGCCACTCCCATTTATAATACCAGCACCGCAGCCTCTCAAATTATATTGTTTTACTGTCTTTGTTACACATACATACTAAAGTTTTATTTCTATTTGTGGTATCATACATTTAAATTAGAGTAAAAGGAAGGCAGGAGGTTAGTTCTTGTTCTTGCCCACCTTCTACTTATCTCTTGCACGCAAAAAATGCAGAAATGGGGGCTAGTGATTCACAGAATAACATAGGCCGACAGGCAAAGCTAAGGAAGAATACAAGACTTGACGTCTTCTCGGTGGTGAAAATTGAAATTGTGGCTTTCTGGATTATGATACCATGTAAAGGTAAAAAACTGCCTCAGGTACTAACACTTCTGACTTGTATGTCTGAGGTACCCAGTTCGAATTTCTACTGGGATATTTATAATACATCCGTCGAATCAAATGCCAGGATTTTACTAAGCCGTCACGGCTTCCTTCCTCGCCGCTTCTAATTCACCGTTCACTATCATCCAGTTATACCGTAGCGTGTAGAATAGTTGCTATGCAACGAATGCGAGATAAGAAAATATATCCGCGCCGTTTCAAGGCAACGGCTCGGTAAACGCATTCCCGTCGTAATGGATATGCATGCAACAGTCGTACAGCAACAGAGAAATTGTGTTCTCTGTGATCCACGCCGCGATAATTGCTGCGTAATGGCGCCGTAAACACGCCTCTACAACAATAGAAGAGCTGCGTTTTCTATGTGGCCCGTGCCGAGAGGTAATAAACGAGACGAAATTTATAACTGAGTCAGCTGATAGTCAGGCGGTGAAGAGAAGACTAGGTGCTTGACGTGAAATATCCGCCAGTCAGTTGGAAGAGCGCTCAGTTTAAATTCCGGCTGCGAAGTGAAGACTTCATGTGTGAAATTTTGAAGTGTTTAATTCAGTGAGACTGTTATAGTTCCTGTGTTAAAATCCGTTACCAAGAAACGGCTAGTGGACACTGTAATAGACTGTGTGTGTCAGTGATTCGTAAATTATAGTCAGGGGTCGTGAGTGATTAATTGGTCAATAAATCGAATCACGAATGAATCACTCAAATGCATGAAAATATATTCTGAACTACCGGCAACGTCATTAAATAAAATACAAAATTAATTTTATTAATATTATCATAGGAACAGTAGCCTAATCTTAAAACCTAACAGACCCTGCATGTATTGCCGTAAGTCTAGTACAAACTAAGCGGTCTGTTTGGAGAGGATGTTTCCATGCTGTCCTCCATGTGATCACTGAGATCCATAAGATTGAATCTGAACTCCTGTTCCTCTGGCTGTCTCATTTGCTCTACCTCTCTCCTCAGCGTCACACCATCCTCTCCTGACATGACTGGATCCTCCTTGCGACGTTTTACAGCAGGAGTGGCATGTCTCGAGCTGATCTTTGGATCCCTTCTTCTGGGAAAATCGGCCATTTCGAGACCATCATCTTCGTCGCTGTACAGGTCCAGATCACGAGCAAAATGCCAAACAGCTCCACTAAGTAAGGCACAGACGAACATTAGACCTGAAAGAGAGGTGAAATATTTCAGTATTTAAGGGCAAAATAAATTATTTAAACTACCTAACTAAACTTGGGACACGCGGTTGCGTAGTTGGTTGAGGCACTATGCTACAAGCCGGAAGGTCGCGGGTTCAAGCCCCGATGAGGTTATTGGATTTTTTGTTTCAATTGACCTAATCCTTACGGCCGCACTATGGCCTAGGGTTTACTCAGCCTCTAACAGAAATGAGTATCAGAAATTAATTAAATAATTTTCCTGGGGAGTAAAGTGCGGCCATCTATGAGCCGATTGTCTAGATAATGTGGGACGTCTCACAACCCTGTGGGTCTTCACGGCCTGTTACGGGGATAGCTTTACTTTTTTTTCAATTAATTTTTTTTGCCTAACTAAACTTGTCAGTTTGGAAACCTATTTTCCTCATTTTGTAAGACAAAAGTTTTGGAAAGAATTTATGATGACTTGCTCATTCCGTAAAGCAGGGCTCTTCTTGAGAATAAAGCAAATACTTGGTAATCCGGATTAATTGGACGAGGGAGGACATCCGGATTAAGCTATAACAAAACACTTAGAACACATCATCATCATCATCATCAGTAATCTGTCAAGACGACAGGTCCACAGTCTCTTTCAAAACAATTCCTCCAATTAATGCGATCTAGAGCTTTCTCCTTCAAATGACAGTATCCTCTTCTGTCCCCAAGGTCATCCAGCATCTTCTTACGTCTTCTTCCTCGTCTTCTTGTCACTTCTATCCGCCCATCTATCTTTCCTTCGATAGCTTCTTTTAGAAGGCAGTTTCTGCGTAAAACATGACCAATCCAATTAGCCTTCCGTTTTCTTATTTCATGTAGGATATTCCTCTGCTCACTGACTCTAATTAACACTTCTTCATTTCTCACATAATCGGTCCAACTGATCTTCTCCATTCTTCTCCAACACCACATTTCGAAACTTTCCAGATGTTTCTGATCTACTGCCCTAAGTGTCCATGTTTCAGCCAACAAATGGAAAATTTAATAACTAGTGCTGATGAAAATAAATATAAAAATTTCATCGTAGAGTCTTTATTTAAAACCAATGACACGACGATATACACATTTATTCATGTATAGAAGACTGAGAAGCTGTATTTGTTTTTGAACGTAATAATGCAGGTTTGAAGAAACTGTCAAATTTTGTCTCAACAGATTTCAGCTGCTATTCTTCAGTTGGGCTTTCCCTCGCAATTCTTAGATGTTCATAACACTCCTTAACTGTGAACAGCATTTTTCACATATAGACCCGGACTATCCGACATGCGGATTAAGCATAAGAGGATCAGCGAGGGTTTACTGTTTTGTATTTGAGCATCCGGCTTCACTAGTTGAGCATTTGATGTATAATACAGTCCTGCAATGCAGCACTTTCCTAGCTCGTTGGTTAGAATATCACATACTCCATTTATGTATGTATGTATACTGTACATACTCCTCTTCGAGGACCACCATCTTGTCGTGGAGAGGTCTGCGCACAGAGGCCTAGGCTGGAGTGGGGTGTAAGCTCCTGGTATGCCAAACATGCCAGGCAGGTCAAAGGATAGGGGTCAGAATAACTGCAGTCCCTAGTCCTCAAGGTTGGGGGTTGAGTGTGGGGTTAAGAACTCTACCCCGTTTCATTACCGTTTCAACAACGCTCTTTATGCCTCATGACCCACCGCATGGTACCCGCTGTAGGACTGACCGAAAGGACGGGATACATGTCACTGCGGTCATGTAGGAATCAGGAATTATATTGTAGCATGTAGACCCGTTGCCAGGCAACGTGCGCGGAATATGCAAATATACGGCAGCCGTTACTGAGTAAAGGCTTCGCAGACAAACATATTTACACGACAATTGAACTATAACAATTAGAAGTGGTGTTTTCTATGCGGTCCTTGCCGATGTTACATAAGGAGTAGAGTGGAATGTAGCGCTTTCAGTTGAGTTCAGTAGGGTGGAGTGAGTTGGTATATTTATCTTGATATCTAGTTTCATATACTCACATCCTGAGGTGACGTTGATATAAAGTCCAAGCTTTTCAGCATCGTGCAGTTTACATTCCTCTGTACCACTCACACCCCGATACATGCACGAGGAGTCTGGAACAATATGATCCTCTCATTACACTATGAAAGACAAGAAATCAAGCATAAACAAATTTATTTTAAATAATCCAATTATTTATATGGCCTCACATGTTTCGGCTTTCGGGGCCATCTTGAAAGGTTCAACAGCAAAAGGAACTTAACTTTACAACTGGTAAGTATCTCGTAAGCTTAAGCTCTACAGTCACGGTCATGACGACAAAATAGGTTAAAACTGTTCATATTTAAAAATTATCCGTAAACGGTAAACAAAAAACAACTTCGTGGCCTGTAGCCCGCAAGTGAACTATACCGACCGAGTGACCGCCGCTTGTCGGCGTAGTTAGTGCCAACTTTTGCGGATAGAGGGTGTCGCGTGGCCAGCGCAACGGATTCCCCACGGCCGTTAATCTCTGTTTTCTAGACAGGAGCCGCTATTTCCTTGAAATAACTCCTCAATTATCCTCACGAGGTTGAGTGGACCCCATTTCAGACCGACTACTTCTCAGAAAAACTGGTAAGCGCCGGGAATCGAACCCGGGACCTCTGTATCTGTAGCCAGGAACTCTGACAACCTTGACTACACAGGCGGTCTATCCGTAAACGGTAATCTCTTTTTTATCTTCTGATTGATACGTTTTTATTATTGATTGGTAAATGTCTGCTAGTATTACAAAGGAAAGCTATTTTAATATTATTCACAATTATATTAGTTTACAGTAGATGGGCTGTCATTCCAAGATTAACACAAATTTTCATTAGTGCAGTTCGTTCCAGGTTTCCAAATCATAAGATGTAGATTTCACTCAATAACTCCAGGGAAAACGGCCCTTTTCAAGAAACTGACATTTGCTAAGTAGAACGACATGTTCCCATTATTTTACGGAACCCGAACGTTTATTGCCATGAAGAAAGCAGTCTGCTTTTACCGTTCTCACGGTCTTGTCGCTTGCAGATTTCTTATACTTTTTCTTCTACCCTGAAGATGGAGGCGATACGTTCCTCCGAAACGTCGGTTAACACCACTTATACACGGTGCCAAATCCCAGAAGACTGCTTTCTTCATAGTCACCGCCGTGAAAGCCTCAAATCTTACGTTCATTGCCATGTTCACGAGAGCCCGCGACTGGTCCCTATCCTGAGTCAGATGAAACCAGTCCACATCCTCCCATTTTAGTCCCTTGAGATCCAATTTTATACAATCCGACCCTACTGCAATTACTTCAATAACATTATTAGGGGGGGAAATGAGATAAATTTATGGGTGACAGTTGAATCAAAGCGCTGTATGTCACGTGGTGACCGTGTGGCTTTAGTACGCTTAAGTTAAGAATTCGTGTTCTTGAGTAGAACCGTGCGGTCTTAATCTCAACCGGCCTTTTGCCTTGACCAAAATCTTACTCTAGTTTGAGCTTGTCAACTGGGGAGCTACGTGGGGGCCGGTATAGCTCAGTCGATATAGCGACTGGGCTACGGGCAGAATGAAGGAGGAGTAGGGGTAACAGATTTCCCTCTTCTCCGTAACGTCCAGATCGGCTGTGCTGCCCATCCAGTATACAATACAATGGGCACCGAAGGCTGTTTCTCCGGGTGAGAGCAGCACCACTCACCTGTACCTAGCGTCGAGGCTAAGAACGGCGGAGCTATAAATCCACTCCCCCCATAGGTCTTCAGGCGTGGTGCTTAATTAATTAAACTCAGGGATAAATTTATTCTTTTACTGGGAGTATTCTCAGAAATACCGGCGTCATTCCTTGTGACTTGTTAATACGTCATAACCGGAAACATCTAAATTCCATTTCCAGCGGGTTAAAAGTCTGCTACGAGAAAGGTAAAAATATCTTAACATTTTCGAAAAAATAAGAGCTAATAATACTTACACTTTTTTTTTATTTCACTTGGTGGGGGTGGAGTCCAACTGGGTCAACTCGGCATGGCGGCCACTGATTGGTCTATTGTAGCCTGCCCCGGGTGATTATGATGATGGAGAATTTGGTGAAATGAAGATTGGCAGGGGAAACCGAAGTACTCGGAAAAAACCCGCCCCAGCGCCACTTTGTCCACCACAAATTCCACTTGACCAGACCCGGGATCGAACCCGGTACAATTACACGTACAGCCGGCATAACGACTAGGCTACGGGCTGGACGACAGAGGAATCGGGGTTCGATTCCTGGCAAGCGTAAAATATTTTTGCCTTATCCATAACGTCCGGACTGGCTCAGGAACCCTTAGGGTAAAATGGCAGGGGCGTGAAGCTGACCACTCATTTCCATTAACACCGAAATTAAGAAAGGTGGAGGTATAACTCTACTCCCCCAAAACTTCTTCATGGCATGGTGTTTAATTGATTAAGTCCAGGGGTAACTTTACCTTTGCCAGAAAATAATGCAATTTTAACCTGCTATAAGCCGGTTACGGTAGCCGAGCGGTCTAAGGTATGTACTGTCTTCGCTCCCTTGGAAACCGGGATCGTGGGTTCGAATCCCACTCAGGGCATGGATGTTTAGTTTGTGTGTGTGTGCGTTTTTCTGTGTTTGTGTACAGGTAGAGGCCTTGCGACGAGCTGATCACCCGCCCAAGGAGTCCTACCGTATGTGTAAGATCTAGAAAAACCGAAGTCAACGGAGTAGTTCATGGAGGTAGGCCTAGGCCCACTGGGGCTGTAGTGCCAAGGAAAAAAGAAACCTGCTATAAATCCGCGTGTGTGCGTGCGTGCGCGTGTGTGTGTGTGTGGAGAGAGATTGACAGGGTTAGAACTGCAATCAAATTTCAGGAACAAACACAGAGTCATCTCCGCAGATCAGAGACACGACGGTCCAAAACAGTCAGAGAACTGTGTATAGAGGCCATAGAGGCCATAGCAGTGTGGGTCAGGATCTGCTACTGGTTGCGCACGCATCCTGTCACGAGTGCTGCGCTACGTATTTGGAAAGAATGGCTGACGGTTACCTGCCATCAGTCGATACAGCAAGTTTCCAGGTATGTAGGCAACGAGACCCACAAGAGTGAGCTCCAGTCCAACCGCGAGCGACTTGTCCTTGGGTTGCACGCTCCTATGAACATGAAATCGAAAGTTATGAAAACAAGATTGTAGTTCTGTGGTTTATTTTACGATGCTGTGGGTATGTACACTTATACAGAGTGTCCCAGTTTGGTGCCATACTTCAGGGGCGTACTGAGGGTTCCCTATAGAATAACTTTGAAACAGGAACCCATGTCCGAAAACGTAAAATAGCAGCGCTAGGACGGCATTTAATATCATTTTGTTTAACCTTGGTGCATGCACAGGCATATTACCCCCTCCAAACTCTTAAGACTCACCTGCTAGAGTGGATGTTGGAATTGGCGTCCTCCACTTTCAATGCATGCGTTACATCGACGAAAGAAACTTTGGGGCACCCTTTCAAATATTAAAGGTGTCTCACGGAATACGTCACATGCAACAAGTATTCTGGCCAAAAGCTCGAATTCATTACCCACAGGCGTGTCGTAGATCAGGCTTTTCACATGGCCCCGGACGAAATAGTCCAGAGGTGTCAAGTCTGGGGATCGGGGTGGCCAAGGCACTGAGCCTCCTCTTCCTGTCCAACGACCATGAAAAGCAGCTTCCAGGTAGTCTCGTGATACAGTACTGAGGTGTGACGGCGCTCCGTCATGCTGCATCCACATTTGCCTCCGCACAATCAGAGGCATGTCTTCTAGCAAAGTCGGAAGGATACATCCAGGAACACCTTGTAAAAGGGCCAATTGAGTCGCGATGGTAGGAGGAAAAGCCCAATCAAGTGATCACCAATGATGCCCGCCCAGACATTGACAGAAAATTGTGCCTGGTGGTAACCAACTACAGTAACGTTGGGGTTTTCGTCAGCCCAAACGTGGCTGTTTCGACAGTTGAACCAGCCATCTCTAGTAAACTGCGCTTCGTCTGTGAATAACAGGTGATTCAGGAAGTTGGGCTGATGTAAACACTGGTTCAGTATCCACTGACAAAATTGAACTCGCGGTACGAAGTCAGCTGGACCTACGCCGTGGACTCGCGTTGGATGTTACGGATAAAGTTGTTGGTCATGCAGGATCCTCCAAACACTTGATTTTGATGTCTCCACAATTTTGGCAATGGCACGGGTGCTGGTGGATAGCTGTTCCTCTATGCAATGCAGTTCGACACTGAGGCGCCAAGTTTAAACGAAATGATTTTAAATGCCGCCATAGCGCTGCTATTTTACGTTTGCGGACATGGGTTCCTATTTCAAAGTTATTCTATGGGGAACCCTCAGTACACTCCTGAAGTATGGCACCAAACTCCTGGGAAAGCCTGTATAGCGTTGAATAGTAGGGTGATTGGTGAATGATGATAAGGAAAGAAGCAGTTGTGCCATAATCTTGGTACTGTCACGTAATTTCCATGAACAACTAAGAAATTCCATGAAAACCCTTAGTTATGATAGCCGGTGCCCGGCCGTAGATTCGAATCGAGTACCTCCCGATTATGTCTAGAGCATTATCGGTAGACCAGCCTCCTCGGTAGCACATCCGTCAAGGAGGGTAAGAAAAAGCGCTAGAGAACAGAAAGAAGCAAAAGAGAAAGAAGGAAGGTGGTGAGAAAGAAACACTGGATGGAAATAGGAAGAAAAACGAAAGGTAGAAAAGAAGTTTTTTTTTTCTAGGCAGTCCGTTCAGAAAGGGCTCTTGTGAACACGGTAATGAACCTTCGGGTTCCATAAAATGCGGGGAAATTCTTGAGTAGCTGCAGAATTGGCAGCTACTCCAGAAGGGCTCAGCTCCATGAGTAAGCAAGTAAGTCCTTTCAGAACAAGGCATTTCAAAAACACATGAAAGTACCCGTCCTACTTACGCCCAAATTGTACAACGCTAGAGAAACTAGAACCGAAGTCACAATCTGTAAAACAGGAGGTCTTTTTTGTTTTCCTTGGAACTACAGCCCCAGTGGCCCTAGGCCTACCTCCATGAACTTCTCCGTTCACTTCGGTTTTTCTAGATCTTACACGTTCGGTAGGACTCCTTGGACGGGTGAACAGCTCGTCGCAAGGCCTCTACCTGCACACAAACACAGAAAAACACCACAAAGATCCATGCCCTGAGTGGGATTCGAACCCACGATCCCAGTTTCCGAGCGAGCGAAGACAGTACATACTTTAGACCGCTCGGCTACCGTGACCGGCAGGAGGTCTTTTATTAATACATATTTTTAGCGTAATGATTTATAAATATTATTTTCGTTTTATATACTGCACTTAAAATAGGTCTGAAACTTAGCACTGTTACTACTACTACTACTACTACTATTACTGTCCGGTCGAGTATCCTTCCTCAGGACATATACACGTAAGGTGGAGAAATGAGGAGCAGTTCAGGTAAGGCTCTAGGATCGCTGGCGCGGAAGTGTGTGCACTATACTGCTTACCGTGAAGGCGTTCGCTACATTTAGGGTCGAAGAGTTAATCAATTAACGTATTTATTTGGTTAAAAACCTCTAAATTCATTTCTTACATTTATTTTCCGACTGTTAATGACGCTGTATCATCAGAACTGTAGCAGCCACTGGAATAGAGTCATATAAACTTAGACAGAACTGTATCTCTCTTTGTCTCTCCGCCGCTACTGAATGACGTCACATTCCCAGCATGCCTCATAGAGCAGGAATACGATACTCGGATTGTATTATTATTGTTTATTATAATTATTACTGACGTCATCCCAGTTCGCGAACACTTCTATGTCAGTCTGGAAACTTAAAAAAAGATAGACATGTCTCTATGCTTAATTAATTACGCTCCACGCAATGAATACATGTGGAGCAGTGGAGGTACAGCGCCACCATTCTTGACCTCGGCATTAGATGGTGACCAGAGCCGGTCTGGTTCACACTATAAGTATGATCCATGTCGACATGATGAGTCTTTATTATTATTATCATCATCGGTGTAAGACGCTACATAAAATGAGTTGCAAGCTTGCAGCTATCCGGCTTTCAGAACTTTATTTATAAGATATTTTGCACATCTTGGACAGGGGATTGGCCGGTCGCATGGCCTCTACCTACACCGGACAACATAAACACAGAAGAAAACGTAGACAGACAGACAGATACCCACCAAGTGGGATTCGAGCTTACGATACAAGTACACGACTCGGACCGCGCTCTCAGTGTGATCAGCGGTTATGAAACTTTGGATATAGTAATGGTTTACATCGCTTCATGTAGCTGATACTGAACATATTATTATTATTATTATTATTATTATTCAAGGTGTAATGCCCTAGCGGCGCAGGGGGGACATGGAGGTATCCCTCCCGCTGCTGCCGCCGCTGTAATGCCGTGGTACAGGGGGGCGTGGAGTCAGCCCGCCTCTGTCACCACTGTAACTCCGCATGTAGGGGCCGTGGAGGTATCCTTCCTCGCCTCCACTAGTTATGTCGTAAACTGGTACTCCTGGTAACGTCGCGCCGTCGGGGGTG